TACTCAAGCGAACACCCAGTAGTCGGATCTCATTGGGCAATTCGCGTTCTAACGCCTCTTGAGCAATTGCCAGTATATCTGAAATGGTAGCTAGTTGCAAACCACTGTGTGAAAGGTTACTGCGATCTTGTCTGGGTAAAATGGATCGGTGAACTTTAATAGGATCGTAGGGACTGAATAATATAAAAAAAACGTTATAGCATCGCATCAGGAACGGTTTGTAGCTCGACGATGAATAAAGATTGCAAACCGTCATGTGAGCTCATTCAAATTTCACTCAGCTGAGCAAGACTAGTAGCCGGAAGTGCTCACAGCACAGTTTACTTGCCATTATGAGAAGATATCAGTCGAGCAGTTCACCTTTCTCTTCGGAGACCAACTTTCCAGGCGTTATGGAACGCGTAAGCACATCAAATGACGATAGCTTCAACTTCAAAGTTACACATCGTCCTCCTAAACGAAACTTAAGTAAAGTGAAAAATTTTTTTAAAAACTAATGTTGAAGTATCCGGCCGAGAGGAAGGCGGGAAAAGTATTTATAAAAATGGTTTACACGCGCTAAGAATTTTTGAATCAACTTATTTTCTTTGTAACTAATTGAGCTCTATGAATCATACAGAAATTCATATTACTTCAATGTGGTGACGAACACGCCCACTTTCGACAGCGCCACACCCTTTCTTTCAAAACTCCCTCCCCCCTCCCCCCATGCTCGGAAAATTTTTATGGGTTCTCCAACTGTGACATCAATACTTTCGTGGTACTAACCGACAATGCCTGCCTTGGGCAAATCCTCAGCGAGCATTTCACAAACATGCTTCAGCATCCCATACAAAGCTTCCCGATCTGACGTTGGTGTAAATGTACGCTCGGTTGAGATGCTCTTGCGCCTAGGATCAGAGGAGGATGGTCGACCAGGTAATCCGAGTGCCATGCGCAGAAACCATTCCTAAAACAAACTTTCATAATGCATAATGAACTTTCATGCCAGATCTGACTTTATTCCTTCCTCCCTTTCAGCTAATAGTCATGATTCTCCGAGTCTAACTATAACATAAACAAATGCGTTTTTTGCCCACCTGAGAAAGTGGAGTAAACGAAAATGTGAGAGCTGCGCGTCGTTCCAGCAGTTCGCCAACTGTTTTTATGTCACAAGCATTCAGTAGAGCCTCAGATACTCTTCCAATTCCTCCAACCTAAACTTAAAACATTTTATCAGAGACTAGGACCACCTAAGCAACTCAGTTTTAGCTACAGCGATAGGGCACACCTTTCGTATGGGCAGTGGATGCAGAAATTCCATAATAGCTTCATAACTGTTATCCAATTCGTACTGCCCATTCGGCTTATTCATATCGGAGCAGATTTTAGCCAGCTTAAAGTTTGGAGCGATGCCTGAACGATGAAAACTAACTTGAGAGTCAAGAACTGAGCCGATGCAGACCAGCACTACATGTCAGCCCAGTTGCTTGCTCAACCCGGAAGCGGATCTCTTGCACAACCTGAAAGAGATGCGCGGAGTTTAATATAGTTTACCAAAGCTTTAGAATATTTGAGCCCTTATTTGTTATGAGGTGAGTGTCATTTTCGCGCAAAAAAAATCCCCCTTGGTTTCAGGTTATGCTTTTCACGAGCGGACCAATCAGCGTCGTTGAGTACAGTATGCTGATTGGTCCGATCGTGGTCAGGGTATGTTTAGAGTTGAGTTTTCCTCGCCCACGAATACGTTTTGTAAAATAATGTTGCAGTGGTTTGCCTAGGATTTTCCGTAATATTCACACTGAAAGTCCAGATACTCATCGTCAGATACCCCCCCCCCCCCGCCCGCCCATTTCTTTCGAGGCATTAATTTGACAATACTAATATTTGATATATTTGGCCTAATTTAAGATAGAATTCGAGATTGAGATACCTCTGCTCGAGTTGTTCCAAATTCAACTTCATCCTCAAACACTTTTCGCTCCTTTCCACATTTCGAGCACTTTTCTACAGAAAATGGATTGGCGTCTTCGTTAGCAATTAGCGGTAGTCTGCATATGCAATCTCCTCCATATCGTCGTCGCGTAAGTTTTCCTATGCACCATATTTATGTAAAGTAAAATATAGAAAGAGACGGACTTGGTTCTGTTCGAGATGTGACGTAGTCGGTTAAGTCGAGGTACGCCTCATCCAATGATCCCATTGATAGGTCCTCGTCATATTCAGCAAATATGGCCTCAACCACCTGCAAACAGTTGAGAAAAAAATGTAAATACCATCGACGAAAATTTTCTAATAATAAGTGCAGGAAAAGAAATGACTGCAGATAGAGATTCTGGAGAACCGCAGTAATAAACAAAACATCTGGCAAAGATCTATTTGTGTGCAGGAGAATGTAAGCTTACGATGAAAAGAAGAGTATGAAATCATAGTTGAGTTGCAGTGTCAAAGTAAATCTAAGAGCTTAGGTTCTTATGTGAAAACCGATTGAAAAATGGCAGTGATTCATTAGTGACCGTTAAATATTGACCCTGAACCGTCGCCCAGTACCGTACTCAAAAAGGTGATTGGCACGCACGGGAAGACTGTATTAGGCAAGGTCTAGACTAATTCCTCCAACAAGAGTGAGCCACATGAACTGCCACTTGGGCTATGACTCAATTACGACTTCTCTATCAATTTGATAATTCTAGGTATTAGCTGCCTAGAGCTGTTTTCAATTTCCTCCATATCAGAGGCTAAGCCGTACTACTGTTTTTGACGGAGTAACAGGGTCTCGTTGTCTCGATGGCGGACCCGACTTTTCGGAGAGGTCATTACTGACTTGGTGTTGCCGAATATTCGCAAAATCGGTAGGAAAAATTTGTTCTGAAGGCGCTCACTTGAAAAAGTTCTGTTTTTTTCTTGTTGAAAGTGAAGCGTCTGAGTGGGTCTCATTGATGGAGGCCATTTAGGGAGAGGACCTTTGCGGGAAGTGCCTTCATTTTACTTTACGAAATCTATAATCTGCTTTGTAAGCGTTTTTGTGGGAAAACCTCACTATGCTTGTGGAAAGCGAGTTATTGACACGGATCTCGCAAAAGAAGAAGGCTCAAAGGCCAAGGGAGAGCATCACCGGAGAACTCCTTCAGATGTCTCAAAATGCAACATTATACTATTATCAAGAACTCCCTGTTGTCAAAAAAGCTTGTGATCCAGCTTCTCATTCCGGTAACACTCACGCTCTCCTCTCATTCTTCCCCTTCGGGGCAATATTTCAATCTCAAGTGTGTTTAATGTATACCGAGCTTTGCTATCTTACCGCACTTTCCTTTTTGTATTTTCCAAAATTTCCATGAACGATCTCTAACTGTGGGCATAACTTCCTTGCGATAAAGCCAGGCATCGCTGCCCTTACTCCGAATCTGCGTGCGATGTAATTTGAGGTGCTCTAAAACGATCAAATGGATTTTCCCAAGAGAATAAAAGACATCAACATCTCACCAACATGGACATGGAACCGACAGCCATCGGAATGGTACGCAACCTCGGATCATCACGCATTTCTACAGCAGCAAAGTAAGCATCCATGTCAATATGAACACAATCACGACGCAAATCGCGATAACACTCAAGCTTGGCGGCCAGATCATCCATCTGCAAATAATCATTCACGGCAAGATAGTGGACGTAGCTATTAGGTTCCTTATACATATGGATACTCTAAGACTACCGAGCCGATGCTCAGGCGGCAGCTGTGATAGCCCGCTCGTCAGATTCAGCTCCAGACTCTCGCCAAAATCCTGATATGATCTAGTACTATGATTGTGCGGCACCTACCACTGCCAATCAAACGGCCCCTAGGAAACGATCCACATCTTCAAACCGATTTTAGGAAAAACCATGAGGTGTGGTGAGAAACAAAGGAAGCCTTTTTAGTCAAAGTGGTCTTTCCACATGATGCACCGCTTTGTAGAGCACTGAACGATGACTCCAGAACTGTCTTCCTTATCTGTCAAGCGCCTCTGGAGACCGACTTATGAGCGTTTTTTTTGGGTTGAAAAACTGAAAGCACAATAGAACAACATTGTTTATAAGTGCTTAGATAGTCAAGTGTCAATTATCAGAGCAATTCATTGGATACCTTCTGTCCAATACCCTAAACTCAATAGCGCGCTCTAACTGAGCGAAGAAAATATTGTAACCATTACTTTATCTAGATTCTGCGTTCATTTTCTGCTCCAAAAACACTTATAACTTGGCATCCAGGAGCGCTTACCAGATATGAAAAAACAGATTTGAAATCAGCGTTCAATGCTCTTCAGAGCGGTATAGGACACATATCAAACGGTCACTTTGACTAACAGGGGAAGGATACTTGGATGCCGTAGCCATTCATAATGATTTGTATACCAAAAAATGCGCTTTTGAATGCTGGTTCGTAGACTGTCTTTCATATCTGCGAAACGATAATCTGAATGGAGTTATGATTTTTTTTTTCATTAAAAAAATTGCGTTCCTGCGGAAAAAAATCATCAATAAAAAATGTTCTCTCCTTTCCAAATGCTGAGTATGATCCAGATAGTCTAAATGAATATTACTACGTCTAAAATTTTCTTCAGTAGCATCAAACGGTAGGCTAGATGAAATCTGGTGATTTTTACAATCCAAAAGTAGGCTAAATTCTCAAGGAAAAAAGTTCATAACTTTCTTCCAAAGATCGTTTCGCAGATTTCGAGCACAGATTCAGAATCTGCATTCGAAGGCGCATTTTTTGGTATACAAATCATTAGGAATGGCCGCGGCATCCAACTATCCTTCCCTTGTAAGAAGGCTTCCCTTGTCAGAACTAAAAAGTCAGCGCTCAATCGTAAGCCCTCCTCAGTTCTTATTTTGATTACATACGTTGGATCTTGAATTTCTGCGCAAAATTTGAGCCTCTAGTATTCGTAGGGAAGTTTTCCTTCGAAATCTGGGAATTGTTGCGCCCAGGGCTTCCCTAAGATGCTCATTACGAAAAAGATGACTAGAGATCAGCAATTCTATACGTTATTAAGATCTGTCTTGCGCTGTGTTTCTGGTTTCTGCAAAGTATACCGTTAACGGTAGACTTGACTTCAATAAACTGAAATCATCAACAGCATACCAAAGGATTCTCGGAAAAAAGGCGGTTCTGATCTATTGCTTAGTATATATTTACAGTGAAATTGAAAGAGTGTCTGTCGCGGAAACACCTTTGACGACAGCAAGGCAAAATCCTAACTACGGGTGCTCCACCTGAAGTGTGACGGGCTGCAAAAAAACCATTTTTTGCCATTTTCATGCCATGTCTCAATGGCGATCGTCTTCTCCATATCCTTTTGCCTATTGTGGCCATTCTTGACATCGGTCCTTACTTATAGTTGGTCTAGCTCAAAAGTTTAGTAACTTACTCGCTACAAAGACCGCAAATCGCGAGTTTTCGAAATTCTGGAAAAGCTTGGAGGCAAATTTCGAAAGATTGTGTGCTTTTTTGGGCCGAACTGGAATTCTTAGAACAACTAGGCACCAGTCCACAAAAAAAAGAAGACACTGTTAAACGCTGTCTGGATTTCTTAGAATAACCAGGCACCATTCCACAGCAAAAAAGTGAAATTGCAAGTGCGCAAAATCCATATTTTGAACATTGGAAAAAAATGTTGTTCGCCTTTCTAGCTCGCCAAATCTCAACCGCACAGCTCTTCCCAATCTAAGTAGAAGAAAAAAGTTGCTCTTCAAAACCATGTCACCTGATTTGCTAAAAAGAGGCCCGGTGAGAGCTTAGGACCAAAAATCGCTGCGCGCTCGTGGAAAATTTTCAAAAGCGAAAAATTGCCTTCAAAAAAGCCAGAATAGGAAATCATGAAAATCTTTCATATGATTCTGTAGAGAATTTTCTTGTCTAAGAGATGAAGACAAAAGCTTGCATTTTATTGACTCCCGCGTAGTTATGAAAAATTTTTCGCGTCACACTGTGGACCATTCTGTGCATTTAAAGCTTCAAGACATTTCAGAAAATCGCTGATAGCTGACTGCCAAATAATTGTCATACGTGAGTGAAATAAAATGCATTGCCATGAGTGCAAAATAGAGCACTGATCCCTGGAGTGCAAATAATTGCGACAGCGGAGCATTCGAATATGTGCAAGGTATAGGTACGTTGTCCGCGCTGCGCGCGGAGAGCAACGCTGTTGCGTCCAGTGAAGATAGTTTGGCGCAGAGAAAAACAGGCGGAGAGAGTGCACGGGGAAAGAGGAGTGACGCGCAATACACACCTTGCGCACTCTCCGCGCCCTGCGCGGACGGCCTACATCCCTGGGCATCGCTTGTAGGATAATCTCAAAGATCTTCTTTAAGTGATTCAGCTATGCAAGTTTAGCAGATATTGATTTCGAAAACAGAGGGAGAATAAGATACTTGGCTGATTAACCTGTTCAATAATATTGGAGTTTTCCAGATTTGATGAAGATGACCATTGCCGGAACTTGGATCTTTACTGGAACCAGTTCGAGAAGGCCTTGTCACAACACTCGCGCACAAAATATTTCACTTTCCAAAAACACTTCTGTTGCAGAACGCGCCCTGTTCCAGACTCTAGATATGACCGCTTTCCCAATCTAGTCAGGTGTACAGGGCTTTTCAACATAAGAGTCACAGCCTCCGCTTGCGCGGCTCCTCCAACGCGGCCGCCTCGCTCAGGCCGCGCGCGGCGTTTGCGGCGTATCCCCGGGCTTTTGCCAAGTTTAAGTCGACGCGCAGCCAGCGCCACGAACGCTGCGCGGACCTAAGCGTGGCGGCCGAGCGGGGCGGGGAACGGTCAGGAGTCACGGTCGGCGCGAATTTTTCGCGAAGCGGTGCCGCAAGCGATGTCAGCAAAACAGAAGCCAGCACTCCTGGCCATAGATGCGATAGGTGGAGAAATTTCTCTGACCCCCTTCACTTTAGGGCCGGCATCTGGCTGACCCCTTTCACCTGAGGTTGAGACTAATCAAGGCAAACAGCTATTACAAAGGAACTTTCGTTTGGACAGAAACGCCACCTGCTCTTCTCCTCAGACATCAAGACTGCAAGAGAGTATCGAATCAACAACATTTTGTTAAAAAAACATTCTTGAGACCTTCTCCGCGCTCAAAGGGCGTTGATAACGAAGCGCAATCAAAAAGTAAAAGGTGATTTTTTGAACAATTAACATTGTGTCAATGAATACATGCTTTGCAAAAAAGAGTTGAGCAAGAGTAAAAAAATCTGAACCGACTAGCGATGGATGCATGTTTGCTGACAAAAAATCATACCATATCTCTTTTCACTAAAGAGAATAATAACAAACAAAACAACAGTCAGATTACTCGTTTTTCATGCTTTCGATTCATATATAAAAGTTCGAAAAAGACCTTCTTGGTTGGAAAATATAATTACCCAAAATTGGCTGATATTGTAGCTAGATAAAACTGCTCGTATCTCGCTTCACAGAGAAGCTACGAAAAAAGAGACGGTCTACGTCGATTCCTCGCGTTCTTATCTATCGAATGGTATATAAGGTGCTGGTGCACAAAGCTTTCCCAGTCCAAAAAAGTCTTGCTCCGGCAACCCATAGAAAGCCGGAGCGGGGTGGAGCAAGTTACTATTGAATATCTCCACCTCATTTTTAAGAAACCACAAGTTTTTTCACCCGACAACCTGTACACCATTAGAAAGCCCACAAAAAAAGGATTCGACGTAGACCGTCTCTTTTTCTCTAGCTCCCCTCTACTTAGAGTTACACGGGATTTTAGCCAAAAAGATGTGTGTTTTTGTCGAGAAATTTCTGCGTGAAGAATGGATAAAGGTGCCTGATTTTCTAACTGTATCACAGAGCAAGACCTTGCCAGTAAACGTAGACCGTCTCTTTTTTTTAATCCTTGTTCTTTCTTTCAAAACTAAATTACAAAATAATTACACAAAATTAGCTGGTGAGTAGGCGTATAAAATCGCTCGTATCTCGCTCTACAGAGAAGCTATGAAAAAAGAGACGGTCTATGTCGATTCTCCATAATCTCAGCTTTCGAACGGTGTGAAACATGTTAGGGCTTTTCTGCTTCACGGCTCTAAAAAGCGCTTGCTCTGGTGACCGATAAAAGCCAATACATTGGGGGAGCTGGGTGGAGCAAGCCAATAGTAAATACCTCCACACCATTTTTAAAAACTGGCAAGTTTTTTCGCTCAGCAATCTATATACCATTCGAAAGCCCAGGAAAGGGGGATTCGACGTAGACCGTCGAATTTTTTCTAGCCGCCCTCTATCGAGAGATACACTGCATTTTACATGAAATCATGTTCATTTTCAACAGCAAATTCTGCCAAACGAAGACCTAATCTGCTGGTTATCTATCTGCGTTACAGAGCAAGTCTTCATTAGCAGATGTAGACCGTCGACTTTCTCGTAGCATTCTTTTGGAGAGCAGAAAGTGAGGACACAAAATTAGTTGACACATGAAGTACATAAAATCCCTCAAATCTCGCGGAACAAAAGACCTAGGAAAAAGCCGACGGTCTACGTCGATTCTATATGACCTCAGTTTTCGAATGGTATGTAACTTGTTGGGGCATTTTGCTCTCAGGGCTCACTTACCCCCTTCACCTTACAAGGATGGGAGTAGCAGAGACCCCCTTCACCTGGAGAGGGCCCGGCTCCCCCTATCGCACCTATGCTCCTGGCGCAGTCTTACTTATGACACGAGCCATGTATCTGCCTCCACCCCTCCCCCCCCCCCCCCACCACCCTAGAGTGGCGCCGTGCCACTTTAGCACTGGGCAGTTTTGTGGGGTACAAAATTTAGACGCGACGTTCGCGGCGAAGCGGCGCGCGGCGTAACTCCTGAGCCATGGAGCCAGCGGGGCGGCTGTGACACTCAGGTTGTAAAGCCCTGTACCTAATGAAGACGCTGATTGATTCGTCAAAAAGAGTACGGTATGGGCAGAAATGTGAAGTAAATTTTTTGTCCAAGGTGCATCATATGTGCTAAAGCTTGACCCTATCCATTAAAAAAACCCAGATACTCAGATTTGAATCAATTTTGCACGTGACTCGTCAAAGACAAGGCTGAGCCCTGGCCAGGACCAGCATTGGATAAGAAAAAAAACCTCTTTTTCAGCTTTGCTCCATTCAGCTGGTGTCACAGCCTCCAATCGTTTCTTAATGGCTGTGGTTTTCTCGTTTATCCGATTCTGCTGCTTTTTGGAGAAGTTCGAGTAATTCTCATTCGTGTTAGCTTCAATTATCTTACGTATGTACTGCTTATCAAGGCCGGCCATCCCAGCCTTATTGTCGCTGAAGGTTAACATTCTTCAGGCAGTCTGAAATTCGTTCAAACGTACTCATTAAATTAGCGCTCAGTCATGATAGATGAGAAATATAACGTCGAACAGTTCGGTTGCTACAAGATATGATAGTCTGTACGCATTTATTACCCACTATTCTAGCGCAAATGACAATAATAATGAAAATGATGACAAAATGACAATATCTATTTTACACAACATCATAAGATAGGAGGCAAAGGTATGAGTGATGTATAGGCAGTGAATAGTCGTGAAGAATGAACACACGTCTTGTGAAAATAGGGGTGAACCGGATATGAACGAACTTGCATGAATAAAAATCGAGATCAAAATTTTTGCCTAAGATCTTTTGCTTCTTTTTGACATCGGCTCTTGACTGGATGGTTTCTCTTGAGGTATTTCTATTGATTTCCTCGGTCTGCCTCTCTTTCTTTTTGGTTTCTCCTCTGCTTCGTGTCGTTTTTGCACCTAAAGCCATAGATTAGAAAAATATGGCAGCGCATCACGTAGCGCATGAAGCCCTCTCTAATGAACTTTACAAGGTCGTAGAGTTTCCTGCCAAATTTCGCAAATTCTAGGTGATTACAGATAGCGGGTAAATGCTAATAGTAGCGCTTACCACAGCTGGCACCGGGTCAAGCTGGAATCGTTTTTAGGACAAAAGTAAAGGGGATATCGTTGTGGCCGAAAAGACACAAAAACTGCGACATTTTTTTATCGACGTTTCGTTTTTTGAGGGTTTTTTCAAGTTTAGGACTTGAGGTCAAAAGGTTCATACGAAATTTCCAAAATGAAAGGGAAGTTCGCTAATTTCCTTGGTGCCAGCTCATGCCGAGCCCCGAGTAGTTCTAGTTGTTCAACTATGCTTAGGTTGTCCTACATATTACAAAAGCCTTTGATCTAGAACGCACAAACATGATGAATGACCCTATTGACTCTGCTGCGCGCTTATTCGTAGTAACACAAGAAGCAGGACTATACAAGACTAAACTTGAAAGCTTACTTCGAAGAGATGAGGTTCTATTTCCGAGGCTTCAGCAAATACCAAAGAAGGTTTGGCCGTAGTTTCTAAACTCGTTGAGCCCTGCGTGCCATTCAAAACTTTCTCGGACTCTTGAGTTGTAACAATGCTTTGGTTCTTAGGTGGCCGACCGCGTTTTCTCTTCTCACTCGAGCAGATTTGATCCACAAGCTGAAACCAAATTACAGTTTGGTTATAGGGCTAACTCTGAGTCGTTTCAACGCTAGTTTCTTACCGAAAGTACGGTGTCGCGTACAACTTCATCGTCACTGGCAGCCCGTTTACGCGCGATGAACTCTCGAAGTGTCACTTTGCTAACATCATATTCCCCGCTGGCAGAACATATCTGATAGGAATAAAATTAGGAACGAATATGAATTTGTATGATAATACAGAAATATGATGAAAATCAAATCATGTTAACAGCCCATATTTTGCGCTACCTCCAATTTGAGATTCAAAAAAATTCAAAACCAAAATTTGACACAGTGACAAACAAAATAATGAATACCTGCGAGGATTGTGATGGTTCGGTCTCATTATCCTCAGGTAATTCGAGTGACATGTCATCGTCACTAGACACATCATGAACTTTGGATTCGTATTGTTTCTTGGCTGAGCGTGGCAAGTGATTACGACGCTTTTTAGTCCTGTTTACGTATTTCTCCCATGCTGCTAACACATCGTCGTTTCTTGGCCGACCGCGTTTTTTATGAGCAGATGGATTGCAAACCTTGTCTACCACCTAAATAGTGTGAAATTAGAAAGCGATCGGGATCATTTAGTAGAAGACGAGAAAAACAAGTTCTCTGAGACTAGACAATCATAAGCTTATTTACTGGCGCAACTAATTACAAAGAGATGCTCATTGCCAGTGACAAGAATATTTCGTGCTGCTTTCTACAAGGATGAAAACTTTCAACAAATACTTGGGACTATCGAGTCTTTCAAATCACGAAAAAAAATCGGCTTAACAGTAACGAACCGTATGAATTGTAGCATTGAGAGCATCATCGGTAGCATCCTCATAATCAAGAGGCTCAGAATCATCAGCGGTCACTTCTATTTCTCCGATAACGGCGTCGTCCATCTGAGATCGTTTATGAATACGTGATTGAAAAATAAAAATAAGAACTTGAGTTGAAGTCATAAAAATTGACCATTAAAAAGTACTAATACTGAACAAGATCATTTCATAGATAAGATAAGATGAATAAAAAGTATTTGGATGAACCGTAAATACTGTAGTTCCTCCATTCAACAAAGGTAAGATAGAAAGTATTGATAAGCTTACAACTACTGAATCAGCCGAATAATGTTCCTCTTCGAGCTGCATTCGTGTCAGTTCCATTTGCGTCTGAACGGTAAAACGAATTAGTTTTTTCTGGATTTTAAATCGCACTTACTCTTAGTCGTTGCTCTTCTACATTAGGAGGTTCAATCGCTATCGCTAATAAGGTCGGCTCAAACAAAATACAACGCACTTGAGCCTAAAATTCTTGTCAATAACTACTGCACTGCAAAATTATTCTACACTAGCTGGCTTACCCGGCTCCGCCGTATGTTCCGAATAGAAAATTCCATTTCTTAACCGATCCGGACCAAACTTGGCACACATACACCTCGGGCCCCGGCGGGTGTCACAGTCCACTTTTTGTTATCGATCGATGTCAGTGTTATCGATTTTTTGCAAAATTTGAGCTAGGGGGCTGGAATTTGGCAGAGGGGTGTAATCGAGCGTGCTGATCACCCCCACGGGGGTGATCAGCATGCTCGATTACCCCCCTGTGCCAACACCCAGCCCCGTAGCTCAAATTTTGCAAAAAATCGATAAAATCGATATCGATCGATGACGAAAAGTAGCCTATGACACCCGCCGGGGCCCGAAGTATATGTGTGCCAAGTTTGGTCCCGATCGGTTCAGAAATGGAATTTTCTATTCGGAACATACGTACAGACAGACAGACAGACAGACAGACAGACATACATACAGACATACATACAGACATACAAACAGACATTCAGCTTTATATATAAGATTATATACCTTCAACTTGAGATAATCGGGATCTATGAGAACATTTGGGTGTAGCTGAATATTGAGACGAACGTGAACCTAGAAAGCTGAATGTGCAACCTGTGGCCGTATTCATCAACGAAAACCCAGTGGGTTCCGGAACCCAGTTTAGTGCTTTTGATGAATATCGATGTAGAATCGATATTCATCAAAACCACTAAATGGGTTTCGGAACCCACTGGGTTGTTCGTTGATGAATACGGCCACTGAGCTACCAAAGACATGCAATCTCACCGTATATGTTCGAATGAGATCTGCATCAGGCATAAGAACGAGATCAGCAACGCCAAAGTCGTTAGGACTGAAGTATTTAGCGCCTCTACCTGTCAGTGACGGACGGACGCGCTGCAATGACATATTAAATGCACCGTCCACCCAAAATCTCGAATTCAATGTTCCTGTCGCCTTCAGGCCTTCTGAAAGCCCTGATTCCGAATATGAAGTCGAAAATCCGCGAAACCCCAAAAATGCCGTTTCGAGAACCCTCTGCAACAAGCGCAGCCCCGCCTACAGTATACTTCAATCAGGATCAGGCCGAACCGTCGGCGTAAATTTGCGCGCTCGCAGCGCTAGCGGCCTGCGCTGCGTATGCGCGCTGTCGAAGAGAGCGAAAGGATTGAAGAGAGAGCAGAGAAGCAAGCTGTGGGCGTGACCGCGAAACCCTAGCGACGCGGACTCCCGCCATGCCAATTTTGGCCCGGTTGAGATTGGGGCAGACTGTACTTTGCTACTATCGGAGCGGATTTCTCGCTCCAGAAGCAGTCTTTTGTGGCGAAGCTTGGGGGTTTGCCTAGTGTGGGGGCCCACACTAGTATGCCATCATAACGCCAACCTCCATTTTGGATGGACGTAAGCTCAAGCTACGTACAAAGCCTCCCAAAAAGTCAAATAAACCTGGAAGACGCGATAAGCCGAGGCGGTTGTGAAAGTAGTGGGCAGTGTTGCGTCAACAGGTGCACTATTGCATTCTCGGAAGATTTGCGCCACCTCATCACACTTTTCACTGAGCATCTAAATATGCAAAAATTATACGAAAGTATCAAAATTTCAGAGTTCTTACATTTGTTACATAGGAGGAGACCACACTTTCCGGACGTTCATGATTCAGAAAGAATTTGTTGCCCCATTCGTGTTGATCATACTTGCGAACGGCTTGGCACAATGCTTCAGTCAAACACATAATTCGCTCTTCCTGAAATGAAAACATCCAACACGAAATTGAAGATAAACTGAAATCAGGGCGCTTTGTCGTAAATAAAGCATGGCAAGAAAAGCAATAGTACAACAACATGCAGAACAGCAATTCTGTTCTTACCTCTGGTTCATCATCATTGAATTCGGTCTTTTCCCACATTGTATCAGGTAGCAAGTGCATGTTCTTTCTTATCCTCTTCACACCCTGCATGTTGTACAATATAGACTATGACATCGATATCGCAAACTGTATAGACTAACACCAAATGCGTGAAATTGTCGCGTTTTGGAGCCCTGATTTTGCTTTTTAGCTGCTTTGATGATGGATGCCACTTCCCTAAAACAATATTAGACTAAAAAGAAAGTTGAGAGCCTTGAAGTCCACCCAAAACCATAATGCAAACCTTTCAGAAAGATCAATTTTTCTGATCAGTTCACTCCTCGAAGTTCTCTGACCATTTCTGAATTTTTGTGCTATTTCCTGCAAACATGAAGAAATACTCGAATAATACTTGAAGAAAAATAACATTTGGCCACACCTGTACGCCCCTCTCTACGATAGCTTTCTCTTCAGGCGTCAAATCCTCACGGTTGTAGTTTATCTGCAATGTGCTCTTAGCATAGAACAAGTTTATCAATGGGCAAATCACATACCCCTCTGCCTGGAAATCTTCTCGCTTGCTCTTTAGCCGCACGATAGAATTCGGCCTTCAGGGAGTCATTCGTAAGCTGTTGTCGAAGCTTCAAAACATAATTCGCAAAAATGAGAATGGATGCACGATAAAAGTCGCTCACGATGTCTCGCTTGGCCCTTGCTACTGCACTACTTGACTTCGACATTTGATAATGGATTGTCCGCCCACTGAGTCTCGCAGTGCACATCTAGTTTAAAAATTTTGAAGAGCGCTATCAGCTATATGTACACTAATGAAAACCAAATCAAAAAGCAAAAAATCAAGAACAAGGGACGAGATTCCTACTCGAACAGCTTAAGCCTAAACTGAGATCGCGTAATACCCAATAATACTGCAGAAAACAAAGTTTCTCACCCTCATCTTTGCAGTGAGAAGCTGTTGATAGCGGTCTCGTATTGTATCTGGAGTATGCCTGGGCAACATTTCAGCTATTTTGGACCATTTACCTATAAAAATACATGCTTGTTTTCAGGTAGTAAAAAAATAGGTTTCCTTCCTCAAGCTCCTGCGATCTCAGAAACACCTTGAAAGATTACGATGGGGCGGAAGTAAAAAATCATGTTTATAACACGACAATGAAAGTTCTGGAGCGTTTGACTGAGAAAAAAAATCACAAATACCAAAAGTTTGTTTATTATAAGCCCATCATACATTGACATCAGATACAATAGTTTAGATCGAAAATGAGAGCATGGTAAACATAATGAATAACCGTTGAAATGAAACGTTCATAACTGTGTATGAAACCCGCGAAACATACCTCGCCCAAAAATTTGTATTCCTAGTACAAGGCGCTCGTCCTCCTCAGCAGTCCAGTCGCCAGCTTCAGTGCATTTATCAAGTACATTGCACCAGCTGCGAAAACACCGACTATCGGAAGAGAATACGCATTCAAAAGCACATACCGCTCTCGACACTGTCCATCAGATCTTCCATAAACCGCTTTCGCTACCTTACCCCAATCTTTGGCACCAAAGCGAGCCACAGCCGACATCAGCAGCTGAAAAGGTGTAAGTGGTCAGCAATAAAAACCTGGGTTGCGCAATGCAAATCACAAACCAAATCTTCATGATCCGTCCAACGTCCATGTCGAACATTCTCATCGAGTGTATGCTGATACCTAGCACGAACTTGCTGACGATGTCTACCAGGCATATAGAATGTGACTAAAAAGCATTAACTTCAAAACTTCTTTAATAAGAACAACATTTACCTTTGTCCCATTGCACATTTCCGTTTACAGTCATCACTTTGACAAGAGCAATGAGCCGCTCATCTTCTTCTTTAGTCCAATCTCTGTAGAAGAAAATAAGTAAGCAATCAGTAATAAAGTAAGTAATCAACATTAACTAGAAAAGAAAAACTTACTTGGATCTCTTGTACAAATCGCTACGGTATCTCTCAAAACACATGTACGGAGAACGTCGCGTCTCTAGCTTCTTAGCGAGCGCTGCCCATGAAGTGAACGAAGGCTAGAAACAAAAGCGTTCATAAAGAATCCTACATAGATATACCCTTTGATTCAACGATACTGGCGGCTGGAAGGCGATGGTTCGCGCCCGCGCCGCAATCTGTGTCTCTTTCTCGCGAGCGCGCTCTCTGATTTTTCTCTAGCCTTGATTAGGCCTCGAAGCCCCACCTTCCAGCCGCCAATCCTGTTACATTACGTACATCTTCGCGATAATCTTTCAGCTTCTGCAGCTCTTCCTTAGCCCAATCATCGCTGTTCCATCGTGGGCACTGTTCATTCAACCATTTGTAGCGCAAACTAGCAGCCGATCGACTTCCTCTGAACTGAAACAACTAGCAATACTTATTTCTAGTCATGCCAACAAATTGAAGACGATTGCGTTGACACCGAAAGAAAAGTCATGATTCAGAAAAAACCAAGAAATCTTGCAGCTCGCGCTGTGATTTTGTTGTAAGACGAGTTATTCGGAAAAAGAGGAAAAAGTTATTAAGTCTAAAAAGGTGGTCTTCTACTCTTTCACATTCAGAAAACGGATTTTTTTCTCTATGCTCGCAATACATGAACAACTGGACTCAAATGCGTATGTTCCAGTGCTCACCTCTATCGTCGAAATTTTCATCCAATCAACACACGAGTAATCAATCAAATCGGATTGTTGTGAATCACCAATTCCGTTGCGATAGTGTTGAATCTTTCTGTTCAGCGCTTCGTACTCTTCCTTCCAAGCCTGCATATCCTCTGGCGTAGTTTCTACACCAGCTCGCTGTATTTTGGAGCGCAGCACATCTTTCCTACAAATGACAATGAACATCTTCAGAAAAAATAGAGGTCAAGAGAAAAACCTATCGATGAATTTCTGTACACCAGCATGGACAACTGATTCTTTGACGGCCTCGCGAAGTATTCGCAATTCTTGTGTTGACCCTGAAACCAGGCATGAAAGAAGCTTGATTCACTTTTGGCCGAGAAATTCAAATTCAAACTCTCGCTAGACCCCCTTTTCACAATCCGCATACCGCACTCAAAGAGACTGATTCTCGAGCGGAAGAGTGTGGTCTAGGAAGAAACAAGAAAATCTTGGTCAAGAGACTGATTCTCGAGCGGAAGAGTGTGGTCTAGGAAGAGACAAGAAAATCTTGGTCAAGAATAAATCTTATAATCAATCAAAGCTCTCCCAATTAGGTAAGACATCAAAAGTCCAAGTAGATTAACTTTAAAAAGATTGAATGAACGAAAGCGAATTGGGAAAAGACAATGAAAATAGTATGCCACATACATTTCCTATCCTCCCTAGTCAGTGGGTCAAAAGTAGTGTACTGCAGTTTATGTCTCGCTTCTTCGTTTTGAGGAGGGCACTAAATCAAGCGTGAAGTGAAACGCAAAAGCGTTGACGTCAAGACTGACCATCATGCTCTCGTCCTTGAAGTAGGGAGGCATATACTGGATAACAGGTACTCTGGATCGAGATGCGGCTCCTGATAGTCGCTCCTGTTCAGCTTTCTTCTCAAGTATTGCCTGTATGTGCACTTTTGATCATACGCAGAAAACACGCGACGCATTGGAGGAATGCTCGAAAATTACCTTCTTTTCCGCTAATCGCCTTCGAGCTTCTGTAATTCGTATGAGAAGCTGGTCACAGAACTCGATCTGGGCTTCCACAAGCCCGAGTAGCTCTGGATACACATTACTTGGCTCAACACTTGTTCCTACATATTCCGATGTTGTAGGTACCTAAGGGTAGGCTAGTAGACACTTTGACGGTAGATATTGTGCATGCGGTGCCAACAACATTCGCGCGTATATAATGATATGTACCTAAGACCATTTTCGACGAGCAAATCGCGAACTCTCTGGCAGCATTGACGAATACAGGATGTCCCAAAGGTAAGTACACACTTTTCAATCGTCAATATCTTTCTTCCCATTGGGTCTTTTTCCTCCATTCGAATGCCATTCTGTAGAGCGAGGTTGAACTTAGGTTTACAGTATGGAGCGAATCATCGATCGCTCTTCATTACTGTAGGATTACGGTAGCTTCCAGCATGCGGAACCATTGTGGAATATGCCATCTGACAAAATTTTTTCCAAAAAATCTAAGAAATCGTGTACTAGGGTTTTCGCGCACGCCGATTCCACTACACAACTTAGTGTTTTCAGCTTTTCTGACAGTGTAAGTACATTTCCGACTCATGGTGGGAACTCGGTTATTATGGTTTACCTGGGATAAGTCAGAAAAGAAGCATCACAGTCAAATAGATGTTTCATATTCGAAATTAGCAGCTTCCATTACCCTAATATAAGAGTTCTTGGCTTATTTGGTTTTGTTCCGAGGAGAATAAGGTCTCTAATGGCCTAAAGTCCCTGTCGAAGTTCTTACCGTAATCATACAGTAATGAAGGTCGACGATTTGCTTCATACTGTGGAACTAAGTTGAAGCCTTCTCTACAGAATGGAATGAACGGCGGAAAAAGACCCAATGGGAAGAGAGATATTAACGATTGAAAAGTGTGTACTTACTTTTGGGACACCCTGTATAGCCTATGTTTTCCGCGCAAACGTTATCGTGACCGCAAGCATTATATCGTCTCAAATCCACTCCCCTACACGCTAAAAAATGTTTATGAAAATAGCCATATATCAAAAAGACGCACCAGATTAGTGTAGGTCAGCGAAGTGAACTCCCCTTCCTCAGCTTCTACTATACGAAGGGGAGAATCATCCATCCATGCGCACTGAATTTTCGACTTATGTACATGTTCTACTGCGAAGAAACACAAGATCTCTAGGATAACATCCTGCGAAAAGCAAGTACAGAAACGCGACTGATCAATATTCATATTGTTCCAAGTACATAACAGCTGCGATACTATGCGGCACTATTAACATACAAGTATTTCCTATCAAACACCTAACAATAACAACATCATCCTCAGAGGAACACATGCACGATCACGATATTGCCATCAAACGATGAAAAAGTGGCGAGAATCACGACTCAAGAGGAGGCAGACTGTTTCTTTGACTTTTGCTCTGTAGAAGAATCCGCGGCTTCACGTGTTCGATCTCCTGTAAAAGCACAAGTACTAATCCCATATGTAAAACAGGGGCTTTTCACACAAGCTTCTTGCACACCTTGCTACTTTCCGAATATCGTTTTCTTCAGCTTGCCCAAGAAACCTGTGTTTGAATCCCCGTCTACTCGCTGAGCGTCAGACTCACCGATAGGTGATTGCTGTCCCTCACTCTTCTGCGACTTTACATTCTCCTTCGCTCGCGTTTGCCGTGACGTTGATTTACTACCTAAAAAGACTTCATCAAGCAGACAGCAAATTACACTCAACTAAAATGAACCATAGTTTGGGAAACACTGATAAATTCAAAGGACTTCAGTCATCTAAGCGTCTCCAATGCAATTACTCAACATTTCGAATACCGAAACGAAAAGAAAGCATGTTTTACACTCGCACATCTAAAGGCCACATTTTCGTAAATTGCGCCGAAGTGAGGCTCATATGCCAGTCCAGAATTGTGACCGACCTTTCATTTCGACTCTAGGCCAACAAACTAGTTTGTTTCTGATAGAAACACACACTTTCTTTGAGTTCCCTGTCAGTGGCAGAAGATTCGATTTCATGTTATTTCGACATCACAGCATCTTTTTTCTAAAGATTACCTACAAGCAGTCTTTCTATGTATGTTCAGTAGTATGCCACTGCGCAGTAAAAAAGAACATAACTCGCTATGGTGCGCAGCAGCTATCACATCTGGAATCAGCGTTTGAAGCTGATTCAGAATACTCCTCTTGCCAAAAGGCCGAGCTAAGTTGAGTAGCTTCCCTTATTAGTCCCAAACACATGGTAACCAAGATTTCAAACTAGTAAAAGACACTAGGAGATCACAGTACGTGTTACACCACATGCAAAAACTATATTACACCATGTAAACCAAGATTTTGGGAAAGGAAGAGAAAGAAAAATGCTCGTTATAACAAAGTGAATGGCTTACTAGAGTCTTCAAATCCCTTAATCGTTCCACTTTTGGGTTTCTCGGTAGCGGCCCAAGCTAACATAAGCTCACGTTGTTCGGCACTTAGATGGCTGCAATAAATTACGACTTCAATATTATGTTCACGTCAAAAACAAAAATAAAACAAAATTGAAAATTTCAACTACAGCGGCAAAACAGGACACTAGCTTTTTTGTGAAATTCATCGTTAATCAAATTGCTCTCCATTCTAGCAGAGTCAGAAGAGAATAACTGACTTCCAAAACCGCTCCGATATGATAACTTATCACACCATCGCTCACAGCTTTGCAAATGTGGATAATAAGATACAACACTCACCTAGGAACACCAACTTTGATGTGAATATACTGATCACCATATCCCGCGGAATGCAACCGCTTCACTCCTTTACCAGATAACCTATATTATTGAGGTTATCCTCATTTATGAAAAAGATGTAAATATAAAACCATACCTCATCTTCGTATGACTAGCAGTTCCTGGTGGTATATGCACATAAATATCTTCCATAATACCCGGAACCTTCACTGTGCCTCCTAACACTGCTTGGGCAATGCTGATTTCAACATCACAATGTATATCATCTTTGTCTCGTCGGAACTTCAGCGAAGGAGCAACGTTGAACATCATGTATATTTGGTTCTAAACGGTTACAGAATGGTGAAAATAGACTGACTCAAAATACAAAGAGGAAAAGACAAGGTCTAATATCGCTGTTAAAGACCAGAAATAAGTAAAAGAAAGTCAAGTCGTTTACCTTTCCAACTTGGAACCGCACTCGGTCCTTATCACTTGTCCCAGCAGGTACGTTGAACGAGACCTGCCGTCGCTGAACGCTCTGACCATGTCCTTCGCATTCTTGGCAAGGATTCTTAACAACATGAATATTACAGCGTTCACAGATGATATTAACATGAACCTTATTGTAGTGCCCTGATCCTCCACACCGATTACACGTTGCTTGGTAGAAAAATCCCCCTTGTAGCCGCTGTGAGATCATCCCCGTGCCATTGCAATAAGGACACGAAACCTGCAAGTATATGTTATAAAACGAACTTGTAGATTCGTAAATATAGCACAAGGGACTCCTTTGACTAGATAATCTCGGTTGGTGACAATCATGGATCACACAAAACGACTGCTCCAAAAACGATTGGTCAAAATCAACATTGCTCGAGGTTACTGACTTTTTTGTAACCTGGTTCAACTTGGGTGCCTTTGCATCGCGGACAATCTTCGACTACGTTGACGAAAACGTTCTTTTGAGCACCTGAACCGATATCACGAATCAAAAGCATAGAAGAAGCATGCGCCTAAAAACGCACAGAAACAAACCTCGCACTGCTTCTTCGAATGAGATGTCCATTACCATTTCTTGTGCATGAGAGTGACCAAACTGAGAATCAGCGAATGTATCCCAATTGAAGCCCCCACCCTGAAATGCTTGCCGGATAATTATTCGATATTTGCAAAACCATGCTCCGATAACCAGGGAAAAATGGTAGAACAACGGACACTATGCAAATAGAGTAGGGAACAAGATTATGCAAGCTACTCACACTACCGAACCCGAAAGCGCGACGGAAGATCTCATTAACGTCAACATTGCCCTTGTACTGCCATTCACCACCTCGTCCTCCCATACCACCTGGTGAACCACCAGCGCCGAAGGTATCATATTCCTGACGTTTGTTGTCATCACTCAAGACCTAAAAGAATGCATCTCTCAGGTGAAGTTTAGAAGACGGCATTGCTAACTTTGTAGATCTACAATGTAAGACAGGAACTCACCTCATAAGCTTCGGAAATTTCTTGAAATTTTTCTTGTGCTTCTTTGGTTTTATTTACATCAGGATGATATTTTTTTGCTAACTGAAAATAGAGTTTGCAAGATTTGAGAAGCTTATCAATCAATAAGCATACTAACTTGAAAATAAGCTTTCTTAATCTCCTTTGCAGTTGCATCTTTTTTGATACCCAATGTTTTATAGTAATCTTCTTTACTAGACGGCCGGCTGGAGTGAAAACTCCGCCTATTTGAATCTGAACACACACTTTTATCCAAGATAACAAGCAAATTCAGAAAACTGACATTCTATAGAAGTCCTCCGCCGCTCAAGATTGGTTCGTTTCAGTAGGATATTTTGCGCGCATGTTGATAACGGAGTTACCTAGAAAGACAATTACAGCTCGCTTGATGGCTAAAAAAGTTTTGATCTCTCAGATTGAGAACATTGGTGACAAAGAACATGCTAATCAAACTTCTTCACTTACGTGATTGAGTAAAAGAGAAGCACATCGTTTTGCGGGCAAGCCGGTGCGACTGAGGACTATCATAACATGAAATCAACCCAGAATACCCGAATGTGTGAGGGACTGAAAAACTTCAGGAAATACTACCTTAAAGGAAGTACGTAATATTATTCCATGCTGATTATTCGCCATGAAATAAACTGCGCCAACAACAGTCAATCAAAGAAAGATTTGAAAGCAAAAGCCGACGAGTTAACGCATAAAGACATAGGCGCTATTCCACATAAGTTGACCCAAAAAATGAAGATCGTGAATTTCGCTAAAACTTCGTCTAGGGAGGTTATTTGGTACGCTGAACACGAATATGATGTTTATTTCGTGCGACAGTGCCATCTGGTGGAGTTACGGTAGGATTACGGTAGGGGGTCAAAATCACGGATTTGCCCGAAACTTGGCCTAGAGGGGTTATTCGGCCCGCTGACGCCGAATATCACATTGGTTTCGTACTGTATTGTCATCTTCTCGAGTTACGGTGGGTATACGGTAGGGGGTCAAAATCTCGAAATTCGCTGCAGCTTTGCATAGAGGGGTTATTCGACGTGCTGATTAGAAATGTCACACTTTTTCCGCACGAAAACGTCTCCCTGCATGGTTACAGTAGGTTTACGGTAGGGGTCAAAATCACAAATCGGCAAATGTATCTTTCCCCTGTGCTTTGCTTAGGCAAAAGCGGCAGCAGAGTGTGTGGCGCGCGGCGGTGGTCATGTGTGCAAAGCTTCACGATCATCCAAATCGCCACACACCCGTTTCGGGATAAACTATGTTTTACACCCGTCACCGTGTATCTACCGTAACCCGATAAAATGACGCTACGGTTCAAAACCAATGTGATATTTGGCATCAGCGGGTCGAATAACCCCTCTGGGCCAAATTTCGGGCAAATCCGTGATTTTGACCCCCTACCGTAATCCTACCGTAACTCCACCGGATGGCGCTGTCGCACGAAATAAACATCATATTCGTGTTTAGCGTACCAAATAACCCCCCTAGACGAAGTTTTAGCGAGATTTACGATTTTCATTTTTTGGGTCAACTTATGTGGAATAGTACCAAGACATAAACCTTCCCAATCAGAGAAGATAAAAGCACAAAAACATGTAAAAAAGAACATGGGAAGCCAATTCTCACATGAGAAAATGCATGAAAATTTCGTCATAAGTGCAAATCGCCATGGGGCAAAACAGATGGGGCAAAACCGCGCCCCAATGACAAATTTGATTGAAATTATGAATTGAAAAAGTCACGGCAGTAAATGAATTCACTCTGCACTAGCTTTCTAAAACGCTATGGGAATTCTCACAATACATTCAGGACCCGGCCAGACTTCGCTCAAAAGCGCCCAAAAGCGTCCAAATTCCTCTAATGTTTCTTCACTTTCTCGTGTGAGGAGAGATAGGAAAGTTAAGAGGGGTTAGAGAAATTTGGGCGTTTTTGAGCGCTTTTGGGCGCCTATGGGATTTTGAGCGAAGTCTGGCTGGGGCCTCAGAGACTTCTACTTTTAACAGAAAGAATGCGCAGCTTTTTGCGGGCTGCAGTTTGCTTGATAATCGAAACGCAGGCTTTCGATAAAATGAGTCGCCTTTATTATTCTGAGTAAGTAGTATTTACATTGCATGCATTCTTTATCCGCAAAATGTCGACTACAATGTGTAGCCTCAATAGTATTTTAATGGCGGAGCAATTTGCGCTCCCGGACAAGCGGAATTTCAGAAACCAGTGTTAAACCATGGGCCGAACGAGACCGCACGTGTAGAGACGCAGACGATCACAGAAAAAAATGAGTAGGGGGCCATATGTCGCCGATAGGGTCCACCCCACGTAAACAGGGCACAATTCTGTATTGACTGTTATGTGTGAAGCTGTGCTCCATCATCGTGCCGATGATGATACCCCGCCGCGACTTAGGTCACGCTCAGATAGGCGTGGCCGGTCCTTACTCCCCCCCCCCCCCCTTGTCACTTGCATGTCCATCGTGGAACAGAAACGTATCGCTATCCTGCTCTTGAGCTCACTGTTATCTTGCTGATAAAGAACCACCGTCTTGTCTATTTTTGTGTTGTCACGGGCAAAAACCGCGCAAGAGTCTCTAGTACCCGCAATAGCTTGGTGCATCGGCTAAATAGGGCCGATACGTGCCCTGCTCAAATCGCAGCACGACTACATCACAATGAGGATTTCGCCTTTCCTCAATATATTCAGAACGTCTACTGGAACTCGCGGAACTACTGCAGAAGTACGCGTGCCACGGTGAGAAAATTATCCTCCCAGATGATGAGCGCCAAGATCTATGCCATGACCATCTGAATTCACTAACAAAATGCATAATGGAAGTCAAAGATAGCATTGAATCGCTACAAATGGACTACGAGATATTGATGGAAATAATCAAGGAAGTCGAATCCGAAGCTGCGAAGAAGTCAATGGCGGAGGATTGGAATACGCACGAAAAAGAGATAAGATTTTTCACAACCATGAATGACGCTAAGAACTTTCTCTATGTTCTACAAGATCGCATGACAGATGTTGAGAACGGATTAGCACGATCGGAATGCCAAAGAACGCTCCCAAGCGCAAGGCCTAAAATGGAAATATCAGAATTCCCCAAATATCAAGTGGTTGGCGAAGAAATCCATGTTGGTTTGCCCATGGATAAATTATACGATGTCCATGGAGAAGCTGAGGTAAACAGCGCCGAAGTCATTTTTGAAAAAGAATTCACTGAACTGGAACGAAACGAGATGAAGAGCACTATCAACAATGATCAATATCACTTGGAGCGAAGGTCCTTCCTCACTGCTATTACTCTTTTGTAGGGGCAGGTCATGACACCTACGGTGCCACGAGCACCGTCTGCGACAGCTGGTACTGAAGGCACAGACGCATTAGCGGTACGATCAAATCCGACTATCATACAATTTGAAAAGAATGAAAAGTTCTCCTCCACTTCGTATTCTGACTACATCGTATTCCGTTACTTGTTATTACACACAGCTGCTGTTCGGATTTCTACAGCCTTTCACATTCCCTCTGGTCAAGTGCTCTGCACATCCACATTGCCGAGTGACTCGTTCAACTCTCCAAATCCCGCTACTAGATCCAGACAAATGGAAGCAGTGCTGTGGTGTAGATTATTTGATTCGCTTATTTCAATTGTTCTTTGCTTTTCCTGTTCTTGGCCGGCCGGAGTGTGCCGACCATAGCGGCACCTTTTTTGTTGTACGATATCTGCTGCCAAAGTACCGTAAAGGTCATACGTAAGCATGGCCTACTGTGATATGAGTATGTTTATTGACCAGATGTTTATTAACATACATCGCCACGCCTATCATAGTTAGCATTCTACCACTGCGCTGATACGTGCATCGTCTGTTCATAAAGCTTCTTAGCTAATGTGTTCTATATTACACACTCCAACAGACGCTGTTTCGCCTCAGGCTACAGTAAAGCCTAGAATCACCGACACATTTGGTGTGCCGATCATAGTGACATTTAACCGTATTTCTGCATATATGAAACTCTTTTTCGGCTTGATTTCTGCTTGCGCACTCTGCCGGGATTGAAAATTGTGTCGGTAGAATGAAACTTTCCCCTTGTGCTATTGCAAATCTTTGGCTCATCAACGGTATTGTGGGCTTCTGGACCGAAATTGCTGCCATGTTAAATCCGCTGAGCGATTCCTTAATGTAGGGTTTAATGTGCAGATTCGCCGAATATTCCCCGTTTGTTCTCGTTATTGTAACGTCTTTCTATGGATGGTGTACATTCGGTGCATCTAACCACTTCATAGACTGTTCGTGATGTCGGTCGATTTGCCACTCTGTAGAAGCGGCAGGCTGGGAGTGGTAGCAAGCATCCACATGGTAATCCACCGCAAATGGATGTACATCTAGAAGAACCAGCATATCTACTATACTTACTTAGCTCGCTTATCGTCTCATTTAACCCCTAGTTTGGCATTTTGTGGGGGTACATGTCCCTGCTTCTGCGCACCTTTCCCATAGTACATATGTGTTTGTGTGCTCCTAGTGAAGGTTTCTATAGCTTTCAGACATCTCATTTTCATCGTCTTTTTGGTTACTTTTACTAATGCAATTGTTCTCTAGAGTGATGAATTTCAATGCAGGTTTCGTGGATTGGTCGATTAAATAGTAGTTCTTTACCATAGTGATGATTACAGGATGTTCCTTCACAAAGAAGGTTTGCTGATTGGCGGGTGTAACCGTTTTGACAGGCGGCTGTGAATCCGATCATCACAAGCGCTAGGCTCAACACAACGACACTGTACGTCAAGGGTGCCGGAACAAAACCGTGGAGAGTACTATTCGGAGGAGCCGTAGAGGATGGTGGTGGTCTCGGTTCTGCAGGTACGCTTTTCGTCCCCCTTCTTGTCATGCGAGCGGTCACCACTAGTATGAAACTAAGAATGTAAATAGCGACTGCTAGTGTGGCGATTGCCACCGGAGAACATTGTTTGCCTAGCAGGCTTTTTTGAAAGGAAGTAATTGTGTTCGCAGAAATCTGGTCTTGAGCAATATTTCTCCAACTTCTGGCTAAGTTCGCTGTGGGGTAGATTTCAATTTTGATCTTGTCGTTGTGTGGTGAGACAGGGATGGCGTAGGGGGTGGGTCGGGTAGGTTTTTTCAATATTGTACACTTGTCATTGAGACATAATTGGAAGGAAGTGTTCTGAAATGTGATGTATACTCTTCCGTTGTGGCAGGAGATTTTTGAGGGGCTTTCTGTCTGGTAAGCTGCGGCCGTTGAAATTACTGATAGGATTACAAGGCAAAGTAATGGAAATAAGGATCGCAACAATGTATTCTGATGCGTCAGCCCTCTCTCAAAATCTCTTATGACATCATATGCTCTAGTTTTAGAAGCTCGCGCTAGATGTGATCTGCTTTTTTGAGCAACGCAATTATCAGTGTTTGCCTCCCTATCATCGTGCCGATGATGATACCCCGCCGCGACTTAGGTCACGCTGAGATAGGCGTGGCCGATACTTACTCCCACTTGTCACTTGCATATCCATCGTGGAACAGAAACGTATCGCTATCCTGCTCTTGTGCTCACTGTTATATTGCTAATAAAACCTGAACCACCGTCTTGTCTATTTTTGTATTGTCACGGGCAAAAACCGCTCAAGAATCTATAGTACCCGCAATATGCTCTTTGTCGTAGATGTCTCGTGGGGCCACCTCCTTTCAGCGACATATGGCTCCCCACCCGAGAAAATCGCGATAGGCGTCAGATTAGCCGATTGTCGTGCTTTAGCAGGACGCGGCGCAGCTATGTCATTTGTCACGATCATTCCCTCCTACTACTATACTTTTTTTTATCATCTCTCAAAACTACTGTTGTTGCAAACGTCGCGGACGCCACTTCGATTTCCGTCCAACGCCAAATATCATCAGTTTATTAGCTGTGCCGCGTCCCGCTGAAGCAGGCAATCGGTTAGTTTGGCGTCTACCGAAGACGACGAAAGCATCCGACGACTTGCTTAAACTTTCTGAAGCTTGCACCACAAACACCACGGCCCCCATCTTTCATAGAGTGTCAAGCAGTCTTCAATCTAGCTGAACTAACAGCAGTCTGCTATGGCTCCAAAACAGCTTATGGCGACACAGGCTGCGAACTGAAGAGCATTAATTCCCTGAGACCAAATGTCACACATGCTCTCATTACGGGTGATTTGACAGGTGCACCTCTTCTCGCTAAATGTTACGATAGGACTCTAATACAGGATGTATTATTGCCGATGTGTTCTTGACTCAAAAGTTCTTACAAGACAAAGTGATACATTTTCTTTTATAGCCTAGATTTTTATGTCCTAACCTGCGTCCCCACCCGCATCCTTGGATTTCGTCGACTTCTAACTAGGAAAGGATACTTGGTGACCGTGGCTCAAAATGAAACGTATGCCATTAGATGCATTTTAAAGCGCTAATCCCAAATCTTCTTTCGGTATCTGCTGTGCGCCCTTCCAAAAGAAGTTATAAACATTTCTTGCCACAAAAATTTGCACTGTTTTTGACGCAGGATTCATCAATATTGTTAAACCGTTCGCTTACGCACTACAAAGGTGCGTCCAGATAGAGTAAAGCTTCACGTTAAGGTTAAGAAAACTGTCTCCGATATATCGGAGTCTAAAAAGCCTGGATGCTGACGATTCTGACTGCCTATATCTTGTGAAATCATTATGGAAAAAAGTCCATAATTTCGTTAGGGAGTCGCACAGCAGATAATGAACATAGATTTGGAATCAGCATTTCAAGGCGCACTTACTGGTATACATATCACTGCAAAATGCCACGAACAAAGTATCCTTGTAAGACAACTCAGACAATCAAAGGCTCTCAGTCGGCCCCACCAAAAGCACCGTCGCCTTATCGCCGCCACTTTTCGCTTCGCGCTAAAGAATTTATGGCAGCCCGCTCGCTGCCATCTAGCAAAGTTGCTCAGCGGAAAGCGACAGTGGCGGCGATAAGGCAACGGCAGACTGTGTTGCGGACGCGAGCAGTCGCCTCTTAGGTCATGAAGCCCCGCCTTTCAGCAGCCAATAGTTAAAGCAAGGGATAAGGAGAGACTGAAGTGGAAGAAAACGTATTGCATTGGTTGAGGGAGAGCAGAGTCCACGAATTTGTCAAGACGCTATGGAAAGCGGAGCACTTACTGAAAGGTAGAGAACTTCCGCCAACATTGTTTCAAAAAGCTCATCTCATAGAAGGACCAATGTAACACTTACTGGGGGAGGTAGCTATTCAGATAATCGGTGTGGGAAGGCGGGCACCGAGAATCCGCGTTGCTGACTTTTCGCATTGCGCTCGCAGAATTCTATAAGACGGTCAGCGATTTTTTTATAGACCACCTGCTGAATATTTTCCGCTTCCGTTTTCGCGTATATATCGCTGATTTTTTCACGAAGCAGGAAATCAATCCAGCGGCAATGCAAAAACTTGTGACCGCTCTTCTGAAAATCAGTGAGCGAAGCACATCAGCCAACTGCTTTTTCGGTGCCCGCCTACCCCCGGCAATAGTTTGAGTACTTTTTTATAGCGCAGGATGGCAAAGCGATTGGTTCAGGCGACAGCAGATTCTGGAAGATGTGGAGAATTTGAAACCTCATTTTTAGAGCTTCCTCTGTGTCAAAGACGATTTAGTAGGACGCTAAATAATCGGAGAATATCACCGAGAGGTGGAGAACCGACTCATCTCCTTCTCATCTCTCTAGTCCAGTATCTACTGCAGAAGGGCATTCTAGTTATGTATAGAACAGGGAATGGCAAACCGACTGGCACACGACATATCAAGCTGCTTGCTTCAAGCATGTTTCAAAAAATATATGGACAATCTGAAACTCATGGCTATCAACTTCCTCAATCAGTTCATAAGGAGCAAAAGTTTGCCTCACGACTGGTATAAGAAAGAAAGTACGCACTTTCTACCGTAAGCTGAGTTCATAGTGATCCGGGAGTTTCGGCACAGTTCCATCAGAGCGCTCGAACTATATGAACTGTGCTGCATTCAGCCGCCCGCACGCTGTATTGAGCGACGGGAAGCAAGTTTCACCGTTTCCAGCGGTTTTCACTGATTTTGCTCATTTTCGTCTATTCTTGAACTTCGCCTCTAAAAAGAGCTTCAAACTTTGGAAGGGGTTTGAGAATAGACGCTTTTCGTGTTGTGCGTCGTGTAAAAGTGCATCCTCTGCATGTCCGTTCCCCTGCATATATTTTTGTCGTAAACCTTTCTGTGTTTTGAAAAGTCACTACGTCTTCGGTACAGTCAGCAATGAAGCAGTAGCTAATAAAGATTGTTTAAAAAACCGTGACGATGGATTTGACTGCGGTCTTTGCGCCTACAGGAGCATGACACCCTCATACAAAAAGGCATCACCTCAACGCTTAGCTCACTCATTTCCAGTGTCCAAGCACTTCCATATCTAAACAGACAAATCAGTCGAGTAGAGATTAAAACCAAGAAAATACGGTTGCCGCAAGGTGCGTGCGTGTCGCGCTCGGTCGCACCATATTCGCGATTTTTCGAATGCCCTATACATTCATCGTGTAACCAAGATAGCAAATGGCGAACTGAATAAAAAGCTGTCATCTCTGCTCGTACGCGAGAATTTGCAACTGACTTGGCGTAAATGACCAGCGTAAATTTCGCGTCAGCAAATTGCGTCCTCCGAGTTTTGAATCGGTTCTCAGAATTTCACTCCGTAAATGATGTCGGAATATACAGTATAGTAATCTTTGATATTACACTACATGGGTAGCGAAACGCTTTTGCAAACGTACACGAACTTTCTCGTTGGAAGAACTGATCAAGAATGTCATTACAGTGAATTCAAGAAGAAAAAATGCTGCGGAGAGCTTACTACTCTGGACAGTTTTCAGCCAAATGTCTTTTACCTGTTATGCGAGGAAATCAAACGGTGGCATGCCACCAATAGTCTATCGAGGAGCAATTACAGGCTTTTGCACAACTTTCAGAAGAAGTACACGGTCCTTACTTGGAGCGCTGTTGAACAAGTTGAGGTGTGAAAGCGAGATGCTGTGCAAACATTCTTTTGTTGGGAGCCATGGGCACACTTCAGCTTGAATTTGAGGTCAATAATAATTATGTATCAATAGCACATGTTAAAAATGTGCAAGTAAATGTGGAAAGCTTACGGCTACCAGATTCTGTTGAATCCAATAACAAAAACACAATATGAGGAACGTAGGTGAGTGTAAGCACTTGCTATTATGAAACGCTCAAGACTATCTATCATTTGTGATCTTTACAGGTGATCTGTTATCCTAAAAGGAAAAGAGGAGTAGAAAAACTTTTCTTACTTGCAAACATGAATAACAATATCGGAGCATAAAAGTATTCTTTTCAAGGCTGCCTATATCAGTTTGAATGGCAGACGTAAGGCTTTTATTAACTAAACATGATCGAAGATTTAGAAAAAATGGAATTCGCATACGCTTATAAGCATCATCATTCTTTATGGATTTTTTTCTATGCTACCTTCTTATGAACGATTGATGTAAAATAAATTTTGTTTCATAGGTGTTTAGGTTGTGAATTTACATACAAGATGGAGAGTGTGCGGACAAAGCGAAAAAAAGGTAGTTTTTTGACCGCTTGAAGGAATGCCCAAAAAGTATAACAGTCTTTTATAAGGAGTTGGAAGAAGTCTGAAATACTTCACCGTTGTCATCGCTACATTGTTACTGTTACCTTCACTGTTACCGATACTACCACAGTTGCCGTTGTCATCGCTACATTGTCATTTTCACCGTTTTAACTTTGGCGATGTTGCCAATGTCGGATGATCAGTCTTTTATTCCGTGTACAAAAAGCCAATCCTTTATCGGGAGAGAACCTTGGTTGTGCGTTCGATGTATTGGCTGTTGCAAAAATAATGTCCGTTTTTCTAGGTTTACATTCCCAACATTTTTTCCTTCAAAATCTCTTTTTCTACATGGAATCTGCATATCATTGGAAAGCTTTCTTCATGTATTTTCTAACAGTGGTAAGATTGAGACTCTGCCTTATCTGTGAAAATTTCACCAGCATCTCACACCGATGCACTCAAAATCAAATTTTGTTGCTCTAACTCCCTTGGCCACAATTCAGGTGCAAGTGAACGGGTTTTTCTGAAAACATAGCTACTGTAATGGTTGATCACTGTTGACCTATAGCATGTTTGGGTAGATTCTTCGAAATTATCTGAACCGAGAAAACGACGCCCAGAAATAGATACCGCTGTTGGCATTCTATGAGTCCAAAGTTCCTCATAATTCAATCGCCGAAGTTTCGCTCATTTCTGTATGCTTGAGGTGAGAACATCTTTCCTACATTTTTTGCAGAAAAAACTAGTTATTCAGTGTATGAAGAAAATTCCATAGTCTGGGACTTTCTGGCCTACCACAAATAGGCTCAAAAAAGTGGGTCTATCTTTTCTTTTGCAGGCCCCCTTCGTTGAAGCTTCTGCACATACGTATACCACTGGCTTGCGTCTACAAAATAGGCTGATTAGCAGCCATAAAAACAAAACCTAAGGAGAGTTGTAGTCTCTCAAAGACGAGGTTTCCAAAAGAAAAACTCTCGGTTTTTTGACGCATGTTTTCTTCCCGTTTGTAATATCAGTAAATGCAGGCGCGCGTTAGGGTACGAGAAATTACTGCTTCAAATGGGTTTTTGCATTCGAAAACATGAAGACTGAACAAAATTATAGCTTTTCAAATTGAAACTTTGCAAAACGGACATTATTTTTGCAACGACGCAATATTTCCACTATGCGGACGTTCTACTTATTTTCATCTCTAATTTCTGTTTCACAACATAAGGTTCCTTCCTTTGTAGCTCAAACTTTTTTTTGAAGTGTCAAATTAACTTATCTGATGTACCATATTTTAATTCCTTATTTCGCTCATATGTCTTTGCATGAATTTTTATGCTCATTTTGGTAAGTATGGTTTTATTCTACCGTGTGTGTAGCGTTATTTTAGTTATTTAGTATCATCCTGTACTCAGAAATAGTCACTTTTTCAGCTTACAAGGGAACGGTGTCGAGTCGAAGTGGCCTTTCCAGATGAGACCCATACTGCTTTGAAGAGCATTAATCGATGATTCCAAATCTGCTTTCCAAATCTGCCAAGCGCTCTGGACGCCGAGTTATGCTCGTTTTTCAGGTCAAAAAATTGAACGCAAAACTGAAGCAAAATCGCCCAAATTTGCTCAAATGGTCCAGTGTCAAGTATCAAAGCTGTTTATGCAATGGATACATTTTATTCAATATGCTAATAATTAACATTGCTTTATCTGAGCGCTGGAAAGATTGTAGCAATCAATTTACCTAAATTCTGCATTCATTTTTCGTTCCTAAGAACGGTCATAACTCGGCGTCCAGAGGCGCTTGGCAGATTTGGAAGACAGATTTGGAATCATCGCTTAATACTCTTCAAAGCAGTATGGGTCTCTCTGGAAAGGCCACTTCGACTCGACACGGTTCCCTTGTTAGTTATAGGCAAATATGCTTCTAAGAAGTTCGCAAGGCTACAATTCTTTGAAGCAACTCTATAACTTTGTGAGAAAGTGCCCGAATTTATTTGCAAAACCTTCGTAGAACGGATCAAAACTTTCGCAAGTGAACTTGCAACTTTTTCTAACGTCTGTAGAATTTTCAACTGACTTCTTTAGATCGATAAAGTTACTGTACACACGATTATATACTATGACAAATTGATCGCAAATATGCCGTGCGTGTAGAAATCATGTGTAGACTAAATAAACATTTATCTATTAGAATTGATTGTTTTTACATAAATGCATTAGTCATAATCTTCACATAATATAACATAGCCAGGAGTGACTACTTTTTGAGGACTAGAAAAATTTGACGATAACTTGTGTGCCAGATAACAATCAATCTGTAAGAAGGAACTCTTCCAATAAGTTTCAAGGGCAGTGCTGACTAGTGAGGCTGGATGAAACAGAGTAGTATAACTGAGCGTTTATAACCAACGGCAATGATTTTGAGGCAACATGGCGTTAGTGCTCTCCAAGAGGTCGATTTTGCTGCAGATTGAAACTAAACCGCGAATGGCAAAATCTACAACTCTGCAGGTCGAGCGATGACGATGACGTAGAAATAGAACCATCGGCATGCTGGTCAATATATCTGAACGGCTATTAGCAGTGGGTTGAATACACGCTGATAAGTGCTTACCTTATCAATCGTATATCGCTCGGAATATAGGGAATAATATGCTTCGATATGTACAAATTCTCTATGATAAAAGCCTCCTTCGAGAGATTTCGCGCTCTTTTTTGCATTAGATTTGCATACAGTTCGGAGACTAGCACGACCTGAAAATAACCGTTATAGAATAGAGCGACGGGTAAATGATATGTTTTTGTCAGAGTTGTAGAGAAAGAATTTCCAATACCTTTCCACCAACAACAGCCAGTGCTGATCGTGCATCTTGTATTTTTCTTCCAAAGTAGTGAATTTTGCGAATATATTGAACGCCGACCAAGTCGATACACATTGTTGTAATTGCAAGTCCTTCAAGTAAATTATTTTGGTTAGTCACACATAATGTACTCCACGACAATGATCATGGCTTCACTCTTTGTTTGATAGCTTAGCTAAAAAGAGATGTTACTGTCTATTTTTCTTTGCTTACAAGTTTGTGCAGCAAGCTGTCAATTGTTGACATTGAGTCTTATACATGTACTCAACTGGGAAGACGAAATGCCACAGCGAAATTTTTCTTTCAAAACTTTATCGTGTCCTGGGCGAGATTATTTTCTGCAACCCTTTCTCGTGAATCTCAGAAAGTAAGAATCAAAGTATCAGAAGCACCAAGTAAGCTATCCAAATCCTCCTTATTTCGAAGGATTGGCTCATCACCATCAAACATCTTCAGCTTCGCAAAAAACGGGTTACTGTCCTTCACCGTGAGAAGGACAGTAATCCGTTGAGTTTTTGAGCAAAAAAGTTTTGAAAAGCGAAAAGGCTAGCAAGAACTGACCTAGAATGATATATAATAAAATGATATACATGTACTCGTCACGACGTGGCATCAAATCGCCGAACCCGACCTAAAATATGTTTTTAATGATACAGAAAGGATGGATCTGATCACGGGAAAGTCACACGAAAGTGACTCTGAGAATAGAAAGAATCAAGCTCACAGTAGTCATAGTTATAAATGACCAATAGAATGAAGTGAAAAACGTCCACGGCTCTATCTTTGACATGAGAACTCCACCAAGTGCTGTGTAGAGAACAAGAATGGCTAACACAAGAATGGCAGGAATCCTGAAAGGTTTGTTTGGAACGTGTATAGTGCTGCTGGGAGCAGACCTTTGCTCTTCGATGATGTGCATGTCGTGCCCCAAACCATGACGTTGACAATGCTCGCACACGTGCTCTCGCCGTTTCTCGCGGCCACCACGTTTCAAGAATATGAAGTGTTTCAGCTTCAGATAGTTACCGTACATCCAAACCAAATGTTCCGAGAGGAACTTGCCTGAAAGGAAACATAAATGTCTTACAAGCTACACATATAAAGCTCAAACTTTGTAAGCGTGTTTGTTAGGTTGTCCGTTCGTTATATGAACGCCCGCCTATGAACTTATGAGTTGCAACTTTGCACACATACGTCTTCAACCCCGGAGGTTGTTTAGCGCTCCTTTTTGCGCCGATTCGTTTACCATTGAGTTATTGATTAGCTTATATTTCTATAGAAATGAAAGCTTATCACGTTCTAATCCTACTTTCCCATGATTATGTAAAGGGGGCGGTAATGCTCATTTTAGTTTGAAGATCCCGAAGATGCGGTGAATGAAGTGCAGATGTCCCATAAGCCATCCATAAGGAAGGGGAAGGAGTCTCGCTTCAGTACTATGCTGGGACAAACAACATCTACCTCTCCCCATTGAATAATGCCCGGGCTGGACGGAAAAGCTATAAGTTATCATTAAATCCGAGCAGTCATTTGTGTTTCATTCAAATAGCTAGTTTCCAACATAATTTTTCAATCTCCCATCATCTTCCTACTTTGGACTGCACGGATCTGCGCCAGAAAGGAAAGGTACTCCTCAAATCTAGTCTTCGTAGGTTACACAGACACTGGAATTTGCGAGCTATCTCAAGCAATCCACATTATTTCGTCGCCGCAACTTCGTACGTTGGAATGGGGCACTGAGACTAAAGTAAATCTTCAACATTTTGCAAAACGTCGGCCTACGGTCAGTCATTTTAAGAAAATTATTTGAATGACATGCATATCGCTGGAGTTTCACTGTAAGCAACTAATTTGTTTGAAGTTTGAGACAACCAAATATTAAGATGGTTAATAAATAATTTCGGTTGGTTTTGCGGCTCCCACAGATGCTGTAGACAATTTTTTGTTTGAAATTCGATCTCTGGAAAGGGATTTCCAGTGAGAATTTTTAGTTGTGCGCAAAGATGAGAAAATTTGGTTTTTTCGGTCAAAAATTTTGGAATGGCAGGTCACAATTTTTACTGTCGCTAAGGTAGGGATAACTTGTCTGTATCCAAATACCAAATTGCTGTTCTTCACATCCATTAGGGCGTGAAAACGAAGCTTAAAGAGTCGCAAAAGCTTTCGGAATTTTAGAGCGTTGGGGCATAACCGTCCCATTACTGATGATTCGAGTCTTTATAAGTGATACGTGATAGAGGAAGCTTTGCACTACTTACCACAAAAAATCTTAGATGAACAACAACTACGAAACTTTTTACGAAGATTTTTCATGCCGAAAAGAAATTATTGTTTAGCCAACCTATGTGAGACACATTAAACTATACCGTAGCTCTGGAGATAGCTTTTTTACGGTGGTAGATAGCATGCCAGATGTAGAAAAACATTTGCAAAAGTGACACATATGATGAGACATTGTCGGGAAAATGTGTCGAGATAACGCTAGATACCGAAGTCAGAACTGAATATCATGATGATGAACTAAAAAAATGGCTTCCTCCCTAAAATACAGGAGTCACAAAAAACAAAGCTCCTATGTCAAAATTACTCTTTTGCGTTAGGAAACTCGCTTGTTACACTTAAATTTCGCAAACTCTTTCCTTCTTCCTTCCTGCTTGCTTCTGGTTTGCACCACAACGCTCGTGATACCGTAGATGCAGTAGTATTGCTTCTTGGTCGCCTCTCTTTGTAAGACCGCATCGCCATCGCCGCAAAATTAATGATCTCTACCGCCCTTCTACTTTACTCGGGGAACTATCGATAATAATTGCTAAGCTTTCATTTTCTTAAATGTAAGTAAACAAATCAATAAGTCGATAGAAGGGCTAAGCGAGATGTCGCGCAAAGTAACTTATTTGCACCATAGCTTGTTTAAAAGGAGAGAGAGTTTCAGGCCTCTTCGGTTTACATACAAAGGAGTCTAAAGCCACCAACATTGTAACAAACAAAATTGTAGTGTTTGAGATTTATAGAGTTACAGATTAGGATGGCTAAGCAGGGACTGGTCAGAAATTAGCGCAGCTATTGTAAACAAGCTATACATCATCGGATTCGTCTTAAAACGCTGATTTCAAATGCATGTTTTTTATTTGCCAAGCAGACTATCTGGGAGGAGTTATGAACGTTCAAATAAGAAAATTTTTGAGTTTCGACAAATATACATTTCCTTGAAAAGCAGTCTGATGGATCGAATCTATAGTGCCTATGATTATTTTGATTACAAGGAAGAAACACATTCACCAAAGACCTAAATAAGTGTTTTTGAAACCTATTTTGTAGAACATGCGCCACGGAACATTTGACAAATCGCACATCTAAAAGCTTATAACTCCTCCCAGAAAGTCGCTTGCAGATAATAAACATAAATCTTATATATAAAGCTGAATGTCTGTTTGTATGTATGTCTGTCTGTCTGTCTGTCTGTATGTCTGTACGTATGTTCCGAATAGAAAATTCCATTTCTGAACCGATCCGGACCAAACTTGGCACACATACACTACGGGCCCCGGCGGGTGTCATAGGCTACTTTTCGTCATCGATCGATATCGATTTTATCGATTTTTATCGATTTTTTTGCTGAGTTCACCTACGGGGCTGGGAGTTGGCACAGGGGGTAATCGAGCATGGGGATTCCGAATACAATATTGGTTTTCAGGATTATCGATTACTTTTATCGATTTTATCGATTTTTTTGCAAAGTTTGAGCTACGGGGCTGGGAGTTGGCACAGGGGGGTAATCGAGCATGGGGATTCCGAATACAATATTGGTTTTCAGGATTATCGATTACTTCTATCGATTTTATCGATTATTTTGCAAAGTTTGAGCTACGGGGCTGGGAGTTCGCACAGGGGGGTAATCGAGCATGCTGATCATTCCCAAGGGGGTGATCAGCATGCTCGATTACCCCCCTGTGCCAACTCCCAGCCCCCTAGCTCAAACTTTGCAAAAAAATCGATAAAATCGATAAAAGTAATGGACGATCTTGAAAACTAATATTGTATTCGTAATCTGCATGCTCGATTACCCCCCTGTGCAAACTCTCAGCCCCGCAGGTCAAACTTTACAAAAAAAATCGATAAAATCGATAAAAGTAATGGACGATCCTGAAAACTAATGTTGTGTTCGTAATCAGCATGCTCGATTACCCCCTGTGCAAAATCCCAGCCTCGCATGTCAAAATTTACAAAAAATCGATAAAATCGATAAAAGTAATGGACGATCCTGAAAACTAATATTGTGTTCGTAATCCCCATGCTCACTTCCCCCCCCTGTGCCAACTCCTAGCCCTGTAGGTGAACTCAGCAAAAAAATCGATAAAAATCGGTAAAATCGACATCGATCGATAACGAAAAGTGGACTGTGACACCCGCCGGGGCCCGAAGTGTATGTGTGCCAAGTTTGGTCCGGATACGGCGGAGCCGGGTAAGCCAGCTAGTTTGTAATCAGCGTTTCAAGGCGAGTCTGATATACAGCATGTTTGGTAAGGCTGGGTCAAGTTCTGACCAATCCCTGCTAAGTAACAGTTCGTGATCTACAGAAAATTCTCCGTATGCGAATTTGATATCACTAGGAAGAGTAGTTCAGGGAAAATCGAAGTCGATTTTATTTCTCTTGATGACGAAACGCTGCCGATGGGATAATTAGAACTCTTCATCGAATTTCTGAATAGTCTTTCTTCAGAAGACTAAATTTTTGCGCGCCCCACAATCACCAGCATGTTTCTCGTGCATACCACCGAAGCACGATCGGCAAAAAAATGCTATCGAATCGCTCATTTACCATATAAGGTTGGCGGATAATTTCTGTTCTTCTTTTATTTTCATTACAAAAATCAAAAAAACTTCCAAAGGAGTGCAAAGGTATACTCTTCGATACTGTCAGATCCGTGGCCCGTGCGCAAAACATCGACTTTATCGGTAAGAGTAGTTTTACGGACAATATTGTCAACGGCCTGGCACTCTTCTAGGTGATCAGGGAGAAACCGAGTGATGTGATGATCGGCCATGATATGTACATATAGGGTGCTGCATGACGAAAGCGCAATATCTTCGGGCGCGAAGCAGCTTTATTAGCCGCAGAGCGGCTTTATTAGTGTGAGATGCGGGATCTACAACGGTGAGAATACGCACGCGTCGCGTTCGCGCACGCCCAACTAACATCGCCATTGCGCCTTCGTCATGCAGCAGCCTACAGTTTTTAGCGAATATAGGGGGTGACACAATCATGTCGCACACGTTCATATGAGTTACATGCGCCACGTCAGCGCACATTCTCACTTTAACATAGCGAGCAATTTTTGAAAATTAACGTTGATTATTTCCAACCTCCCCCCTCGTACAGAAGCTACACGATGCACACAAAAAATTTCGACCAATTTTAGTTTGATTTTTTCAAGCTCGTTTCTGACGTACTAGCGGCACCAAATGCTGCCATAAAAGAGACAGTATAAAGTATGTTCTAAAATTTTTACAGGGAGAAAAACAAGTCAGACGCAAAGAAGGAATTAAAGAAAAATTGATTTTGAGTGTGCTTACAAAGTTGTTGTAAACTTGCTGGCTATTTGTGCATCTGCGGCATGAATCCTGCTGTTGTTTACTCCCTGTCGTGCCCTATTAAGACGATTGTTGCGAGCACCCGCAGCCCCTACGATGTCCTTCAACGATGCGCAAGCGTTAAATTCTTGGACAAACCATCCGCAGCCCTAGACTTATTTGCTTGGCCACCGGCGGCTCATTGTTATCGTTAAGGGAAAGGCCCAGGTCTTGCTGGAAGCCACAATTGATACATGCTGAAAGAGAGAACGCGACTCGTGTGAGATACATCGCGGTGATAGGGCTACCCTCAACATTTGCGTCGTTGGTGAAAAGTCAAGTAGTGTAAGTTGGTGGTCATCGGCAATGTCTCGAACGAGCCTTTTAGACTACTTAGTCTTGCAACCAGTAGGTCTGTCGGAAACTTTGCTACAGTGATTGTGGCTTTCACGAAAGGCCAAAGAATAAGAACAGGTATCCAAGAACTTTCTTAGAATTGGAAATGATATAGATGGACTTCATTTGCCGAAGTGTATTGGGCCACACGCGCGCGCACATTGCGCATTTATCGGGCGCTCTCGGGCCACTCAATGCCGTTGTTCGAGCGCTTATCGAGTCATTCGCGGGCATTGTCGGGCGCTTACCGGGCGCTTATTGGCGCGCCCTCGGGATTGGCGTGGCGTTACCCGTGGGTGGCCGGCGGATCATGGTCTCTCGATTCAGACCATGATCTGCAGTTTATGTTTCCGTGGTAACCATTCAGACCATGATCTGTAGCCAAAGCTTGTATATAGCCAAATATGAGTTTAGTTGTCTGTCCTTGCTCACGACAGCAAGTCGATTGAGATTTTTGCACTAAGAAAGGAACCTTTTTTAGTCGAGGTGATCTTTACATATGAAACTTATATGTCTTTGCACAGCATTAAACGATGATTTCAAATCTGGGTTCCTTTTCTGCGGAACGACTCTCCGGAAGAACTTATGGACGTTTGAGAGTTTAAATTGGTCATGCTATAGGTGGCACAAAATTAAATTAGGCTAAACTGCTGTACAAGTTTCTATCAGGTACATTAATTATATTAATAACTAGAAAGGAACATGAGCTGTGGAAATGGCAAAGATATTGCTGTACAGCTTTCCACTAACTTTATGTCACTTGAAACTAACACTCATAACTTGCTTCGGGGAGCTGTTCCGCAGAAAAAAAGACAGATTTTGGAATCATCGTTCAATGCTCCACAAAGTGATATAGGTTCTACATGGAAAGGTCACTTCGACCAAAAGAAAAGGGGTAGGGGAACGAAAGCCGCCAGTTTGAGCCGCCTTTCGCGGCTAACTGGTCCTTTCGCAACGCATGTCGTTCCAGGACCAGCAGTCAGCGTAGGCGGCCGAAGCTGGCGGCTTTCGTTCCCCTACCCAAAGAAAAGGTTTACTTGTAAGTTTGCATGCGCAAGACGAACAGAGAGAACGACGTTAGCAGGTCACTAAGTGTGACGGCTCCCTGGGCCCTTAGCACAAATTTTACTCGAGACCTAGTGAGCTCGCACGCTTATTATACGACTCTGCCTAGCTCACTACTACATCCTAGCGCGAGAAAAACACGGCATAATTCACTAACAATTTATACTTATGGCACGAAAAGAAAAAAATAAACACTTTACCAAAATGACCACTGAACTACTAGTCAAAATAGAACCCTAACACGGGACAGAGTGCCCGCGTGCTACCGATGGTGCGCACCACACATACAACAAATGCGCTCCTGAGGCTCTCCTTATACAGACCCTCTGCGCGTCGCCGGATGACAGACGCGACAGCCTCTCTCCTAAAGTTCACAAAACCTTATGCTAAGGCCCAAAACCAAAGGTAACTTGTCTGAAATTAGTTCCGAAACCGACTTGAACTCAAATCCACTATGGGTTTCGATATGCTCGACCGCTACTGCGAAAGTGACATCAAAAGCGGGAGCTAAACTGCCATGCACGAGCAAAAACATGGGAAAAGATTATCGAAAATCGATGGAAAAAGTAGACAGACGCTCAATAGGGCGCCACCGCCATAAGTAACCAATCTGCTGGCAAGGCGCCAAGGCAAGGAGAGGTCCGGAGGCGATTCCGGCAAGCGTGAACAAATACCGTAATCGTCCCGGATAGCGCGGCAGCCATTAATGCTCCTAGCCTCCTACTTCTGGGAGCGCTCGGATCGCTGAGCCGCGACACTAAGTTAGGTAATCTATTGAGAATTGTTAGAAATGTGAACTTTATCGGAGAGAATCCCTGTTGAGCAGTTCTTCCATCGAATTTAGCTCTTTAATGAACCTGCCTCAGAGGGTAATAACTAACTCACCCAAATCGGCTATGGTGACTAGGGTGAGAGGAATGCCGAACAAAGAGAACATGATACATACAATCCTTCCTATATTCGTTATCGGCACCGGATTACCATATCCTAGGAATTCAAGGCATTGAGTCAACTTCAAACCACAAATGATCGGAATTAACCAGGTAAGCTTTCACAAACCTATAGTTGTCACCACGGTCACAGCGAAGAATACGGCAGTTGAGAAGGACCAGATCTCTGCTGTAGTATTCTTTTTCACCTAAATTGTTTGCTATCCAAGCCACATATTCAACTTTGCGATGCATACATTTTGAAAAGGGTATTAGCTTGTTTTGAAAGTCTTGCACGAAAATCAGAATAGTATCAAAAATGTTCAGAAAAGGTTCAACATATAACATTTGTTTTTTTATCATATATGAATTTGTATTTTCTTGCACCTATCGTAGTCTTTGCAGATTAAATGCAAAAATGGAAGAGAAATTTGTAATTTTCATAGAGTCACACGGCCAATACGTTTCCAGAGCCTCAACATTATATGCTAAAAAACTTGCATGCTGATGTGCGTGTGACTTTTTAGCAATCTGAGCGTATTTGAAAATCACAAGAGTAATTTGAATTCTCTCAAGTAGTTTTTGGCTTTATTTTATTTTGGTAATGAGTCTTTGTCGACTTGTATGGACATAAAAAATCTATTTCGAACAATGCTAAAAATCTCATAAATATTCATTACACTGAATGAATTTAGGGATGAAGAAGGCAACCAATTGTTTGTAATTTTTTTGCAAGAACAGGACAAAACTGATGCAAAGATTGATGAAAAGATTGGTTGTTGTCATTATGATTAGTCTAGCTCTTAAATATGTATCCGCTTTCGCACAAACCTACTCATAAGCACACAAAGAATATTAAAGGAAATTTTTTGATGTAATTTCTGCAATCCAGTATTCTTCCATGTAAAGCAAAGTGTATCTAATTCTACGGTTATCTGGAGAAACACTAATTATCGGGCTAATACCGACGAAATGATGTTTACCTCATTGCTGGTAAGAAAGTACTTCTCAAAGGCGACAAATAGTTGATCAGACATGTTGTGGAGATGCTGCTGTGCAACGAGTTCCCATTCGCGTCGACCTGAATACGAAAATTTTTTTGTTGAGTAGAAAATGTTTGCAACGCACCTGTGGTGTTGACAGAAGCCAATCTGATCAGATTGTTGACAAAGTCGTCTTGATGAGAGTAAATCATTTTCAGCTGTAAGGCGACAAATAAAGAGGCAGATAAAAAATCATGATAGGCTGGTTAGAAAATGTTTGTTACAAATGTTATTTAGCTAAATGTAGTTAGGAAAATATTTAGCATTAAAGGCCATCTGGTTAGCGAATTTTAGAGCAATAAAGCACACGTAATGCTTTAGTCCTCCAAAGAATCATTTTTTTCAATTCCAACAGAGTAGTAAACTGGGAAATAGATGATTACGCTTTAACTATCAACGAAACAATGGAATTGTATCTTTGAGTTTCGAATGAATATCCAACTAGGCAGAAGAATTTCGGTCGCTGCGGCTCTTACAAATTGCTGCAGACAAATTTTTGTCCACTGTTAGGTAATTGTGGAAAGAGCACTTCAATGAGAATTTGAGCATAAGCTTCTGAATTGAATTTAATTCCAAAAAGACGCGAAGAAGTTAAAAATCCGATTTTCATAGTGTGCGCATCTGTGAGAAAAATTCGGTTTTTAATCAGAGAATTCCTGGCAGATCACACTTTTAGTTATTGACTGAATAGGGAAAGCTCAGTTCCTCTACCTACATCACAGCATGAAAACAAGACTCAGAAGTTCGAAGAAGTGAGCACTTGGAAATTCTGCCATATTGGGGCATAAATTAATTTGGCCATATTGGGTTATTTGATAATAAGAAATTCTGAGTGGTTGATATATGATAGTAGAAGCTTTGAGGTATTTTTTCTTGAAAAACCATAGATAGAAAACAACGACATCACATTTTTTATGGAGATTTGCATGAAAACTCTGGATCACTTTCTAGCCAACCTAATATTTTCTTTATATCAACAACCAAATGAAAAACTTCATTTTTAGGCAGTTCTAAGATGATACAGACAAAAAATGCGATCCACATTTTTATCGTTTAGTATCTTTCAGTAGCCATTTTACCAAATTCAGAACAAACCTGGCGTTGTTTCGTTTCCATTTCGTGCGGTCGTTCTACCGTATAGAATATCGAAGCTCCCAACACGGTATATGCACACGTGAGCAGCACCAACGCCACATGAGGTAGGATTAGTTTAGCATACTGTAAACAGAATATGAAGTCCTGCACAGAAAACTGAATTCTTTCTTCTGGCTTTGAATTAACTCAGAATCGCCATCACAGATAATTGATTATTTGAGTGATTAAAAGTCATAATAGGGCATAATCCAGTATAAAAATAAATAAAATATAGCTCGCAATATGTATTATTATAGGTTTTTATTTCAAAATTCTTTTCTTAAGTTCATTTAATGGAGAAGTCAACCGGCGCTAAAGTTTTCTGGCCATAATGTGAGAAAGGATTACCAACAGAAACAGTTGATTATTTGAGTAATAATAAGTCATGAGTTGAAGTTAATACTTCATTACCTGTCTCAGAAAAATTCTTCAAAATTCCAGACCTCACAAAAATTTGAATTTATTCAGTTGTGGGATTATTCCAACACGAAAACTTGCGTGTGTCTCATGAATCATATATGATTTCACCTAGTTTAAGAATTTTGGAGGAAGGATGTATTCTTTGTCGCCTAATAAATCAAAATGAATTTACTGAGTATAGCATGCGATCACGTAACAAACAAGAGTTTCTGAAAAAATGGAATGATGAAAAAGAAAAAGTACTATTACCTTTTTAGCAGATGACTTTGACCACATAAATAAGAGCTTTAGGACAGCCTTGGAACAAATCAGGAAAGAATGTCTCAATTTCTATTTACATACAACAAGCTGTCACATGCACGGACCACCCGCCCACCAACCAGGATTGAGAATAAACTCAAAAAATTGAAGTCTTCAGGAGTTAGGACTGCAGTTCTTAGCCTTGACTAATATGGAACAGTTTGATTTTAACGTATTGGCGTTCACATGATGCAAGAGGAGGACAGGTTCAGATGTAATGAAGTAGAAATTGTTCAACAAAATTGCTTATTGTGTGCCTAAGCTTTATATTACTTCTTTGTAAAATTTTGCCAATGATTACTCTTTTGGTCTCATTTGTAGGATTTTTTTGTGAGATTATATCGTTAGCTTCAGTCTTTCTTTTTATCTTGTTGGAGATGATGATTCAGCTAACACGGGCTTCAAGTTATCCATAAGATGGAATTAGACTAAAAATGAGGAATTGAATTTATCAAACATGATTCCAAAGTACCAACTGTTTGCCACAACAGTGTATTAGGTTGAGACAAAAGACCCGCACTAAAAATTCCAAAATTTAGGCAAAAATGCTCAAAGAAGTCTTTCAGCCTGCATAATATTTTTCCAGTGCATATGGTGCTTAAAATATTTTGTTATGTACGTAAGAGATTTTAGTTCAGTAGACAAAATCAAAACGGAGAATAGAAATTCGGCACAAATTTATCTTAGTTAAGAGCGCAACTTATAAAACACAAGTAAAATGCAATAGAAATTTTTGGGGCTTTCAGCATTTTTTTGTAGTCAAAAGTTAGAATAACGCAAGAGTATTTACCTTTATTAGTTCTGTTGTCGTGATATGACAGTAGTAAATCTTGGCACGAGAATATTTAGAAATATTGAAGTTTATTTCTTTTCAAATCATATTTTTTCAAAACTCATTGAACCCGGAGAGAATTACGAAATTTCGAAAAATTTTGGTGCAAACTTAGGAGCTGATCAAAGTGCTCTTTTAACAAAAAAAGGAATAAAACCAACAGTAAGTGAACTATGCCTTGTTTTCTTTCATGTTGTTTGTTAGAACTTTACATAGCTAGTTGAAGCTTATTATCTATGTTGAAAATCAAAAAAAAATAAGAAATCAAAACCAGGCAGCAGCATATGAAATTGGATCTATCACATGATATCAAACGTTTTCTTTCATTTCAAACAATGAATCTTGCAAGAGAAATGCTATAAAAGGGAGAATAATGCTGAAGCTTTGACATCAATGACACATTTGGATTTTTCTCTGAGCCTTCATATGGAAACGACTTCGGAAAAATGTAAGATAAGTGAAATAATAAATTCTTTGGCAATTTCGAATCTAAAAAAAATTAAGAGTGGTCGGGGCTACCCTAGGCAGCAATTCCAATCGAAACTTTTTAAGAATCAAAGCGCCTACTTGGTTTTTGTCTGATTTTCAAATAACATGACTCACTTTATGAAGGACGGGGTCTCGATTCGTAGAGGCTCAAAATTAGAAAAACGTTTGTACCCTTTGATTCAACTGGCTTGGCGACTGGAAGGCGGGGCTTCGTGACCTAATCAAGGCTAGGTAATGATCAGAGAGCACGCGCTGGAAGAGACGCAGACTGCGTCGCGAGCGGAGCCTTAACTGGGTCACAAAGCCACGCCTTCCAGCCGCCAAGCCAGTTGAAACAAAGATTAGAGCATGATTGTTGAAGAACCTTGGTCATTTAGTCATTTACTATAGCATCTAATGGAATCGTTTTCTATTGATTTTATATGCGATAATTTATTGATTGATAATAATTGCGATATGAAATTATCGCATAGAAGATCAATAAAGTAAAAACGATTCCATTAGATACTACAATAAATGATCAAGATTTTTCAGGATTACCAAATAGCTCAGCTAGTTCCTTGCAATCATTGGTGAATGGTGGTTACACAAAGTGGTTACACAAAAAATAAAATCAAAACCACTAAGCAGGATTGAATACATAATTCTCGAGGCTAATGTGCAGATCAAAAATTCTTTTCTATGTTTCATTGATTTGAGAGTAACGAGCAGCAATGTTTTTCTGCGTCAAGGGTAGCAGTAGGTAGTAATTAGGCAAAGTTCTTGCAACCATTAGGTTGGATGCAGTGTTTGAAAGCGTTTTCTCTTAGCATAGAAGTGCAGAGAATAACGAAGACTTTTCGAAAGTTCATCAAGAATAGTGAATGTTTAACCAAGTAGCTTGATGTTAGATATCTGTCTGAATAACAGAGATGCAAAATTGAAGTCAGCACTTTACATCATAGAAAAGCAGTACATAGATGAGAGAAGATGCCAACAAAAAACGTAGAACATGAGTCTGAAACCTACAAACCTTTTTTGCTCCTCCTTGTTCCTCTTCCTCTTCTTCCTCCTCTTTGGAGTCATCGCTTTGATCGGTGTCATCATTACCACTCTGAGTGAATATAAATGAACACTATGATTTCATCTTGTCATTTCGGAAGTTATACCATTTTTCTAGCTTTCGTCAAAAACATCATATTTCCTATCAATTTTGTGCAATATTTTTGACTAGCATTATAACTTCATTATTTTTGGAAGGTTTCCAAGCTAACAAACTTTTATAATACCGCTTTTGAAAAAGGACAAAGCAATAAAAACAGAAAAGAAATAGTGCAAGCAAAGAAGATCAAACATGATATATAACAGCTAATTTGAAGTTTCCAACCAATATTGCGAATAAAAAGAAGCTGGAAAAAAGTTCTGTAAATAGGTGAGGAAGTTTCCTCTGAGAAAGCGCAATTATTTCTCAGCTGATATTTGATTTCAAATTTTGTGACCTTTTACAGATCTCAGCAATTCAATTTTGCCTCCTTCTGTCGCAAAAAAAACAGAAATTCGCCATTTCCCAGTTTGCACACAGCGGCTTCCACGTCAGCTTGTTATCTTTGCTCACTCGACTAAACACAATTTTAGGTTTTTTCTGGGGCCGTGTTCAAGAATTCAAAGTCTTTTACATACTCAACGCAAAAGTTGGCCAAGAAGCTAACAACAGGAGCTGGATAATGTCTAACTAGTTGAAACCTATCGATTATTCAAACGCTAATCGATAACTGATTTTTGAAAAGTTGAGGCAAATTTACAAGCTTTAAACCGAAATTTACCTTTTCATGACAGGAATGCAACAATTGGCTGCTTTCATAGGCTTCCGAATAGCCTCCTCGAGCGACAGAGGATCCGAACAGGGCTTCCTAAAAGCGTCGAAAGTCGTTCTTGATGCTATGGGAAAAATTCTGGATTTAAGGGAGGAAAAGTGCGTGCGAACCTCACAATCGTTATGTGAACCCATCACAATAGTGAAGGGAGTACTAATAGCTGAGCATGATAATGGGAAGAACGTCGTTATGGGACACAGTGGGGGGACGAAGCTCAAGGTGGCTAGAGAAGATGGGAAGCGAAGGGGGCGGATCTCGTTCTTTTCGCGACGTACTTGCTCGTGCTCGTCCTCAGGTCAACACATCACATCAGCGCATCTTCAGCTTCTTTTTGACTTTTCGCGCTCCTTCTTGATAAATTTTTTTCGAATTTTCCCTCAAAGAAGTCTAGGGCCCTGTCTATGCTTAGACTCTTCCTCTTGCCCCTTTGCCTCCAATGATCTCGCTCTTCAGGGCCTCCCCTCTAGCTGCTCAAATTGCTAGACAAATGCACGCATGTTATGAGCACATTAGTGGGGCCCTATGCCCGAAAAAGGCTCTTGACTAGAAGAGCCTCGTCTGCGATGCCTGATAGCTCATCTGGCTCATCGCACACCAGCACAACGCACTAAAAAACCGCACGTTTTTAGCCCCCTCAGAAAAGCCCCACTTTTGGTAATCTCCTTCATTTAAACTGACATAAGCTCTTTTACGCTCTCAAAGTCGTTTGTCTTATCCACGGTTATACATCATCGTCCTCACCGATTCTCATAACTTCCTGCCCCCGTTCTGCAATGGCATTGTCCATCACGGGGGCTAACTTTGTGGAAAATAATTTTGCCAAAAAGCGATCACATAATGATCAGTTGTCTACTTGCAAAGCTGCAACCCACTCAAAAAAATTCTTGTTTTATAACTCACAAAACTGTAATTTTCATTGTTTTTGCTTGATCCTACAAGTACCATAACCAGGAGATATAGCAATGAGGTAACGGGGCACATAGTGGCGGCACGACACCCCTTCCAAGAAATGGGTCAAAATTTACAGTGGTTTATAGCACTTAGAAAATCGTGCAAGTAACATGCTTATAGTTGTAAATTTTAGAATTCTCAAAAATAAAATCAGTATAATTTCTTTTGGTATATGTAGCCTCCTTTCGAAACTGTTATTCGCGTCAAGAAATGTCAAGAAATTGTTTTTGGGATCTTCTTCTAAAATCTCAGGTCATAAGCAGTTGGAAGTGTTTTATACCAATTGTTCTCAACATTTCCAGCTGCATTATTGAACCACTCTTCCACGGGAAACCGCCGTTTAAGGAAATCGATGATTGGTGGTCCTTTTACCTCGAGGTCTTCCTCTCGTCCAGGGTCCCATGCAAACGCACTGAACTTATTTCATATTTGCGTCCGGGATAGGGACCAATATTTCGGTCGAAGGCGGCCCACCGTCTGTAGATAAAGCTGACCGTCCCAACAAAAATCTGCCTTGAATTTTTTTACGGGAACACTTACTATTGCAACTGTTTTACGTTACTGTTCTTGTACAAGTAGTTCATAAATAAATAAATAAATAAGCTCACAAAAATTGATAAGCCACGTCTTCCTTACATTAGGCTTTGTCTCCTCTCTACACCGAAAAATACTTGCCCGCTAAGAGGAGAAAAACCAAGATTCTGCTACCAATTGATTCTGCATATCCACTGCTTTGTCATTGAATCATTCGACGAAGACTGATTATAATAGACAAGCAAAAAATGTCTAATTTCCGGAGCTTGCAAAATACCGATACCTCATTTCCCATGTTGCCATTCAGATTAGATGTCAAATAGAAGACATTTGTAATCTGCGATAAAGATAGCTTTTCTGCGAGCTTTTGAAGAAAAAGGGAAGGCAGCCGGCGGTTCGAAAAATTTGGGGCCGGGATAGAAATTCGAGTGAAGGGGCGTGGCTTTTAATTGGTCAAAAAATTGTGCAGCCATCGCGCCCAGAAAATCTTTGCTCTGAGATTTTGTAAAATTTTCAAAATTTATTTAAATCTTTACAAACGAACATAACTTACTCGCAATTTTACTACTCTCAAAAACTCGGGACAAGAACCACTGGAAAACTGCACGTCTGTCTGTAGAGTTAAGGAATTTTAAACATTACAAAATCACCAAAATAGATTTCAGCATCCAAACTCCGCCCATCCTCTAACCTTTATGGGAATTTATCTTGCTTGGCGCGAAAGTTTTTACGTAGTTCGAACCATATAACTTTTCAAGTAGTGGAACGATTCAAGTTTTTTTTCTGAAAATATGTAGAAGAAGATTTGTGCTCCATGATTGATGTTGATGCATCCTAAGCTAGGCACCAAGAGCAAACCTCAAACACGGCTTGTCTTCTGCGAGTTTGAGTTGGTGCCAGAAATTTCGAAGAGCTGCAGCTAGCCCCAAATAACCTCTAGAAATCTATTACGTAGAAAGCCTTTCTGAAGAAAGAATTTGTATTGCTACATTTCCGCTTTTTCACATTTTAGGATGTCGGAAGAGAGCTGTTTTCAGAGTAGAGAGAAAGGTCGCAAATTTGATGATCATATTATAGGGCGGATCTATATCAATTTTAGTTACACTGGCCCAAGTTTGGGCTTGCTTCTTCACGCCACCCAAGTTGATGGGCGGAGCCACCTTGGCAGCTTCTACCTTTTGAAGCGGTTTTCTCGCTTCAGAATTTAGCTTTTTGCTCGAGTCTTGTGCGATTGCTTACTTAGGGGTCCCGCTATGCATATAGCATCAAAATCTCACCACTCTCAATCAGGATGGACCGCTTTAAGCCTTCATCGCTCCCTCATCTGTCAATTTTGTTGTAATCAGAGTCAAGTAATTTACTAGTTTTGGTTATAAGGCAAATTTTGACTTGTACATAATTGCAAAAATTCTGCTAACGTCTTCTTATCCCCGAAAAACTTGACTCTGTTTACAGCGATCAGCACATACATACCTTTTGGTATCGGTATACTCATCTGTTGGATTGCTTTGATATATGTATGGTAGTTTCTCTAAAGTTTTTTCTTTCCTTTCGCTTAACCTTTGCTCTACTAGCAGCAACCAATATTAATCCTGATCAAAAAAGATTTCATAACTATGGGATCGCAAATAGCCTTAAAAAAGTCTGGGACATACTATGGAAGATTCTATACAACACGAAGGAACCAACACCTAGTCTGAGCAACGGGAAGCAACCATCTCAGACGTGACGGCAAAGTCACACATTCCACTTCTGAAGGATGGCTGTCCGGCTTTTGGATTCCAACGATAACGACTTTCAAAGCTAGATGAGATCATTTTTGTTTAGAGAAAGGATAAAGTGCCATTTTAAGCCATCCCCTCCACGGTCGACACATTGCATCAAAGTGGAATTCCAAAACAATAAAGACAGAATTAGCACAGCGATTTGAGCACTTACTCGACGTTGCCTTCGATGGAATGTATCAGGGATTTCACCGAGATGGTCTGCTAACTCATTTCTTTCGAGCTCATCGAAGCTGCTCTCATCGAGGTCGATACCTAGGCCAGCATGACAGGTCGAAGCTGAAATATTCACTCTTTGAAAAAAAATCATATGACAGATTACGCAAAACGGAATGTGGCAGAAAAATTGGAATACAGAGTGTCCCAAAAAGATGTGCACACTGTTTGATCGTTAATAACTCTCTTGCTTTCATGTCTTTTGCCTAGCTTGAAGTACCATTCTGTAGAGCGAGGATAAACTTAGATTTACAGTATGCAGCGAATCACCAATCACTCTTCGTTACTGTAGGATCACGGTATGAACTTTCAGCATACAGCGTCACTGTGGAATAAGCCTTTTGATAAAATACTTTCGAAAAAATCTAAAAATTTGTGCAGCAAGGTTTTCAGGCGTCCTGATTTCACTACATAACTTTCCACCAGTTTTTCGAGCTTTCCTGATGTCGTATTCACATTTCTAACAAACATTGGAAAATCAGTTGTTACCATAAATCTGAAATAACTCATGAAAGAAACAGTGTACTAACGTGCAATTTTCATACTTAGAATCAGCAACTTCGATTAACCCAGTTCAGGAGTTTCTGGCTTATTTGGCTTCCTTTCTGAGCCAAAATACCGCTTTCAGTGGATTAAAATCCTCCTCGAAATTCCTACCGTAATCATACAGTAATGAAGAGCTGCTGATAAGTTGATCCATACTGTAAATCTAAGTTGAACTTCGCTCTAAAGAATGGTACCTCAAGCTCGGCAAAAGACATGAAAGCAAGAGAGTTATTAGCATTTAAACAATGTGTACATCTTTTTGGGACACCCTGTATAATATTATAGTAATGTAAAGTAAGGCGTGACAAAATCGTCAATGTAATTCGTGGTAGCCTATAATGATTCGTCAAATGGTATACTTTCAAAATCGGAAAGCATTAACGAAAGCCCTCGCCTAGGCAGCATTAAATCTGAGTCATTTCTACAAGAGTTTCTTCAAAAGAACAATCAGTCATCAATCATTACGGTGTTGGTCAAGAGTTCAAAGTTTGATACCTCAACTATAGATGATTTGATTTATGAGGTGTCTTGGCTACCGGTTAAACCCTCTAGTCAGTTTTCATATTCAGAACCGTAATCTATTTGAGGGGGGGGGCACTGTTTTGTTTTAAACCGAGGGTTAATTATTCAAGCATGTAAAAAACATTTAATCACCCGTTCGATATTTGATCACAGGTTCGAGATGTTCGAAGACTCTATAAATTCAATTAACCAGAAACATCCCTCCTAGGCATACTCAGTCATTCAATTGTTCAGAATTTTCTTTCTCCAAATATGCTCGATCATTCGAACATTCAACCATTGATTATTCGATCACTAGAGTGTCGCTGAATATTTAAATTTTCACGCTAATCTTCGCTGGTACCAAAAAGTTATTCAAGTTCGGAAACCACTGAGTCTAGAATCTTTGAATATTTAACTTGTTTGCTATTTTTTTCTCATTTTTGGCGTCCTCGATCATTCGACAAGAATCATAAGCTTTCAGTAGGATCAAATGATAAATTTCACTTCAAATTATTATGAATTAGACGTATTGTGCAATCGTACTCAACACTTACCAAAGTCTGCGTTCCCATTGAGAATATCAGCGTGCCTCTCACTAAGCGTAGGGTCCGAGTCGACCCGTTGGTAGCCATGTAATGTCATTACCGATCCGTCCTCCGACGCATCTAAATTGGGATTTACAGTAACAATTTGGAGATATATTTGTATCAGCAAAACGACGAGTAGAGAGGAGATTAATAGGATTTCCGATGAGGATATTCTCGCCCAAACCGTACCTTGTAGGGACCAATCAGAGTAATCGAGTACGGTACTGGGCTGGGTTAGGATTAAAATGTCCTGACTACAGATTATGAACTGCCGCTTCTTCAGTGGCTTTGTTGAAGTTTCTATTGAGTTCAAAAGCAATGCATCTACTATACAAAGGAACGAACAACTCAATTAGTCACCGCATCCGCCAGCTGCTGGTCCTATCGTCCTACGGTTGTGCATCGTATTGGGACCAGTAGTCCGCGGAGGCGGTGCATAATTGAGGTGATCGTTCCTCCGTCCAGCCTCGATCAATATAACAATCAAAAAATATGGGCACTCTACTCAAAGAGCATCCATATTTTGACCCTCAGTTTTGCGCCGAAGTTGGAGTCTATTTCAAATGTATACGATGCTAAAGTCAAACCTCACTGTCCATATCTGAATATGACGATAAATAATGGAGTCACAATTTTATGTCTCTATAGAGTTCTACTCTCGCAAATGAAGGGTTTTCAGACGCTTATAACATTGATGAAGTATGACGTAATATGTATCTATCCTCAAACCAATGATGAATAAACCATGTGCTTGCTAAAAATCCAAAAAAAGCTCGTCCGCATGATAATGTGCAGTTTTTAAACTGCCTTTGTTTGCAGAAGATCCCTATATCGGTTACTCTCTAATTTCCTTTCTCCATAGCATCATATTTGCGTTTTGAATCTGATAAGCACCAAACTTTGCAAAGCAGAATTGCAGGCAGAATATCATAAGCATTAGTCCCATAATACTAGGCTGTTAACTAAGTATTGCAACTAATTCAACAACTTTTCGCTTGGTGATATTAGCTTTCTGGTACCTTGTAGATTATATTATGAGCCAGAAACGGACCGCTTGCTTGCTGATAACGAAATAGAAAAATTCCAAGCATTTTCCGAACGGAATCTCAAAACTCGTCAAAACTTTGCGTATTGGGATTATTTCACCTGCCGAATACTGATATCATAATCATTCATTGAAGTAAAGTCTCCTTTTATTTTTACGTAGGCCTTCATCTCGTGAATACACCGTATCTTACAAAAAGGCCGTCCTACCACACGCAGTCAGCAACGCTTTCGTGATCAGAATGTCGGATTCCCCCCTCCTCCTCCCCCGTTGGGCAAGTTTTAGCCAAAACTGTATTGCTTCAAAGTTTTTTTGTCATGCACCGTGCACCTACCGCAATCCTCTTGCAGCTATTTCATAGCCTATACAATGACGAAATTAAAGCGGTCATATTCAATGAGAGAGAGCTATTTTGAAAAGTTGCAAAACTTAGTTAACAACCTAATATTTGATTATACCTCAGTTATTATCACAATAGGCTATCAAGTTGTGCGGTTTTTGTTCGCTTGATCACACCAAATATCAAAAAAAGTTTTGTTCTACGCAAAGTGAGAAGTTAAGGCAATTTGCTTTGGAAACCAATTTAAGAAAAAAGACAAAAGTTTGAAAACTTGGAAACATAATGTTATTTGAAGCGATGTTTCCTCTATTGCCTAGAATCAACCGTTGCGAACCTCATTCTTTTAATGAAACCGCGTTTGTGTCCCTAGGTTTTGCGCACTAGTCCAGCACAGCCTCTACTTATAGCCTTAAATGACCAGTTTATATCCTTCGAGTGCGGAATATATAGAAATGGACTGGACGCGGAGAAATGGAGTTAAGTCGAAATTGTTGTGAGTTTTTTTCGCGGATTATAGTTTACGGGAGAAACCTGTACATCGTTATTTGTATTTTTGCCTATTCTTTTAGATCTACCCTTATAAGAAATTCATCCCCTTCAAACCAGTGGCGTACCCAGGGTTTCTGCTCGGGGCGGGAGGGGGGGGGAGGGGGGGGCGACAAAAATTTTTTTCGAACGAAGGTGCGTGGTGTTAGCCCTCACACTGAAAAAATTTTAGGGGTGCTCCTCAAAATTTTTTCCGGGTCCCCAACCCCCAAAATCTAGAAAAAAGGGGCGTGGCCTACGAAAAAATTTTTTACAAGGCTAATTTGAATTTTTAAAACTTTTTGAAGGTTATTTTAATTATATACAAGTATAAACAAGTCATTTGCACATGTTTATAACCCTTAAAAGAACTTTCAAAAAATTCGCGCCCCCCCCCCTCCTCGGTATGCCACTGCTCCATACATTTTTGTGCCAAAACTAAGGAGCAAAAAAACGGTACATTCTACAATTCCTCAGAATTCTGAAGGAATAAAAGTCAATTTTTAACAGTATATGTGTAAAAGACTCACCAATTAGATATGACGGTTTCTAACGGGCCAAATAGCTAATAGAATTTCTCGACTAGAACTAGACAGCAATGTTTTTGTGCTGCAAGAATGGACTGCCTTGCGCACGTCATAAATCCAGATTAGTGAAACGAAATGATGCATAAGTCACTCAGCAAACGAATAGGGTGCCATTTATGAAAACAGTTTTCGTCTCTTTTCTATGATGAAGTAGTCTAGAAAATTTCAAGTGGTTTGATATAATTCAGCGACGAAATTGCTAGCTCAATTCTGCAAAGCAGCCAAGCAAATTTTGCAAGGGTTCAATCAAGACATTTCAAAAAAAATACAGGGTTCGGCAGTAAGTGTTCATGAAATAAGATCATCTGCCTTCGTTAATTTCCGCAATCTTCTTTTTTAATATTTTGGACTTTAGAACGATGTGCAGCAAACGATGTGGCAGAAGAGACAAAAACAGCAATTTCTACAAATTTAAATCATGACAAATTGGGGACAAAGATTGAACGGCTCAGCACGCGGAGTGTAATAAACAGATTTATGTTTGAGATGTGAGAACTCTTTTTCGTGACGCTCAGATGTAAATATTTTCCTGAATTGGAAACAAGGTTCCCCATCTTTATCCAGGCAAGCTTCCATTTTTTTATGCTTGCTTCAAAGTTCCAAATGCTCATACAGCCAACTTTCTCCCATATCATCCATGATTCGCTAGCCATGCAAAAAACTCAATTTTTATCCCATTTTTGGAAGGATGAAAGCAAGACAAAGGGTCCCTGTATTCTACGATTGGGAATTCAAGGCTAACTGTTGAAAATAAAACGTCCATCCAGACTCTGTGCTGCTGACTGTACAGTGTATAAGAAAACTTAAAAGTAGACTATTTGTGTTGGTCCGGTCCCCTAACGTTGCTTCCAAGAGAAGAAAATGGACCTGCTACTACGAGAATCCTTTTTCCGCCACGCCCCTTTCTTTTTCGCTCCGCCTATGCAAGGACGACATCCTGACGCGTTCTGACGTGGCAAGCACAGTTGAGTGTGACCATCATGGTGGATAACGAGGATATAACCGGAACATTCGTCCACAAATGTCAAAATAGGGTTTCAGAAAAGGAATTTTGTGGGGTCTCAGCTAATTTGACCCCCCTATTCAAAATCCGGGCCATAAAAAGGCCTGAGGATGATTCAAAACAGTGATTTGGGCGCACGCTGCCTTTATGTACGTGCTTTTTATGAGCAAATAATCTTTGCGGAAAAAACCTCTTCGAAGACTTCCCACTGATCCCCGACAACCCATCAAACTTCTGGCGGAAGCGCAAGTATCTATACGACCTCTTTGGCTGTCCACCGAGCCCAATCGACTTCTGACCTAGGGGGCTCGAATGGCTCCCCGAAAAGTCGAAAAGTGTGCGGGTGTATGTGCTGAATGTGTGTGGTAAGACAAAACGCGGCATCCAATTGATCTTTCTCGAGAAAACGAGAGGCGGCCAATACGTCAGAGCTGTGCTGATAGATAAATTTTGTTGCGATGCTACGTCTTGCAAGCGAAAAAAGAACAAAATGGAGTTTCGGCGGACAAAAAGGGTCATAGGGGATATTTGGGAGATAGCAGCTGATCCAAAATCATTGGAATGGCACAGGTAATATGGTACTGTACCTAAGGTAAGTGGGAGTGACATTCTTATGATAATGGTTTTGGATTGTTCGACTCTCTATGAACCTCGGCATGGCGTAGATATTGTAGTTGTTTATGTAAGCCGCACTCGAGATTGGTAACAATAATTTATTGGGTGGCTGACGTTTCGGCAGATCGCCTTCTTCAGAGCCTGGAATGAGCAAAACGATCTGCAACCTATCCGATCAAACGTCTTTGCAGCTCCACAAGCAAAGTTCTAGGGCTCTGCCTGTTCACTGACTAGACTGCCAAACCAAACACTTACCTTTTTGAAAATGCCGATAGCATACAAGTGCCTGAGCGAGCGCTAATGAATGGCCATGTATGTCACGCTATTTATATGCCTACAGTGAGTCAAAAGAGGTGACCCAGGTAAGGTGCGAGTTCACGAGTGATAGAGAGGCACTCCTCCTTGCCATTCATTTGTGGACTTTTTGCGTGAATCCAAAAGGCTTCCAAACATTTGATAATGGTTTTCTTTTTGCCTGTTTTACGTTAAATTTGCTTTTATTGACCAGAAAAAAATCAACAATGAAGCTAAAAAAATACGTATGGACTGATGTGTCCTATAAACCTTCATAGGATACAACGACTTTGTTCACTGTTTCATTATCATGATATTGTGAAACAAAGGTCGACCACAAAAGAAAATAATAATGAATGATGATCTCGCCTAATAGACAAGTTTAGAGTTTATCGGTTTAGACCAAATAAAAGCGAACTGATTGAATCCGACGAGCTCAAAGTGGAAACGAAATAAGCGCTAGGAGATAGTTGGCTTTTTTTCTACTGTATAAAATGATTTACATGAGACTATACTTGTTCTCACCCCGTTTGTAATACAACAGAGCAAATTTAGGTGATAGCATTTCAAAGCAGTTCACAAGACTGTATGAGAGAAGGTAAGAAACTATCAGAATAAGTGATGAATTCTCCTGAGAAGGATAGAAGTTTTTACCAGAAAAAATGTGAAT